ATGTCAGCCGGAGGGGATTTAATTTTTCTAATTTTCTCTTGAGTTCTTGTACCAGAGACAACTGGCTTCCCTACATTCCTTCTTTTGTTTTGAGAGTTTATTCCATCATTTAATCCTCTCTTTACACTGGGAGATCTTTCTCTACCTATTCCTGCTCTAAGGGGGACTGTGAGATTCTTTGGTCTTGCCCCTGTACCACTGTAATCATCATTACCTCTAGTTACCGCACTGTACGATTTTGCAGCAAAACTTGGTACAGGATTGACATTGACCTTATCCCAGATACATTGCAATAACTCCATCTTCTTCTCTATTGCTGACATTCTCTCATCCATCATTGCATTTGAGGTGTCCTGAAATGCCTTGACACTAAACTCACTATTTGTCAAAAACTTGGGTATTTGGAAATTGAAAGGAACTGTCACCACAACATTTCCATGCCCAGCTTTATCAATTTTCGATATCTTTTCCCAGAGATCTAGAAAAATGGTAGATATCTTTCGTTTTTCTTGGATATTTCCCTCTGTATCCTGCAGTTGAAAAGCTTGATAAAAATTTGATCTAGAGTTCTTCATCTGTTCCAAGGAGAACTCTCGACTAAGTGTATCCAGAACACAGGTCTTATCAGCAACTCTATCAAAAGCATAAAACATTGATCCTAAAATCCCATCAACTAGAATCATTTTCCCAGACCTTGAATCTTTATAAAGAAAGCCTTGATGACTGGCTTGTTCCTTTACAGTGGTCTCACTATCCATTTCCTCCAGGGAAGTATTTAAAGAATTATCCAAGGATTTTTTGGGTTTTGGCCCCATTTTCGCCACAAGATTGGCGAAAGCCAGATTATATCTAGAATCTTCCAGATTTCTATGAATGTACTTTAAAATTGTGTGTAAGCCTTGAATTGAGAAAGCAGTGTGAAAACTGCCTAAAACACTCTTACAGAGAGATGTTTACTACTCAACTACTCTGAACTAACTTGGTCAACTTGGTCAACATCTAAGGCTTATTTCCTTACTCCCCTTTATATTGTTGTCTAGGGTCAGTGTAAAGGTATAAATATAAAAGTCTTGTTCAAGGTCAAGGATAAATGAATTTTTCTTCAAAATATTGTTTTCCATCCTCACCTTTCCATTCTACATAGTAAGGGTAAATGTAAAGGTCATTTAGTCACAGTCTTGGGCGAAGCCAAGGTCCAATAATTTCTTCATTCCTATTCTTTTTTAAAGAGTCCGTTCACTTATTTGGGTTATTTCATGGTAAACGAAATAGCCTAGTAAGTAGAATCTATTCATTGGTATTAGTCTTACTTTTCAAAGATAACTATGGCCCAAGAAAAAGCCGATTTATCGCTTAGAATTTCAGCGCATAGGTACGATACCTTTGCACAGACACTAATTAAACGTTTTTCAGTAAGAACAGTCCAATGAAATCTAAAATAATCATATTCCAATGACATCATGTAGCAGCCATTTTATAATAAAATATGGAAACTTTTGATATTAGAATTAGCAAGAAATTAACGTTTTTCATGTTAAAACATGATTTAATATGTTTATCCAAAGACGACCTTCTCTCTCCGTCAAGATTTCGACTAAAGGATTCCTGGGGAAGTAGGGAAAACATATCAATCTGACAAATGTTTATAATCAGTTTAATTTTGAATATAGACAATTTTTAAATAACTTTACAAAAAAGAACTTTTTTACAATTAACTATAGATATTTCAGTTAAATCTATTAATATTTGAATTTTTATTTTATCCATGACATATGAAAACAAGCATCTATGAAAACAAGCATCAAATAGTGTAAATGCCAAGGTACCGTAAATTTGCGCTGGAATTCTGAACAAAAAATTGACTATTTCTCCGGCCACAGTTGTCTTTAAAAAGTAATACTAATAAACTTAAAAACCTTCCCTTATTTAGTTCTTCCGAAGCAGAAAACAAAAGAACAAAATAATCTTCTGGCAAAATAAAATTTACTTTATTTCAAAAGGCAAAATTTAAATGTAAATAACAATGGGATGGGTGAGGGGGGGGAGTCCAAAAATCGTTCAATAGGACAGACCCTACAATTAAAATACTTTTCAATTTCTACACTGATTTTATTTATTATTATTATGGATTTATTTCATACACTAAGGTAAAATGGTAGAATATTATGATAAAACAAAAACAAATACAAAGTTTAAATATAGTTTCTAGTCTGTAACTAAAAAGTTAATCATGGTTGAGATCTCAATTTCAACAAAATCTGGGTAACATGTTGAAAATGCGTTTAAATTGAAATACTTTTCAATTTTTAAGTTGATTTGATTGTATTATGTTAAAAATGCGAATCTGAAAAATTTTCATCAATTAAAATCAAACGATAAAATAAATTGGATGTTTTAGTTTGAAACTTTCAAGGTGCTGAAGTTCATGAGTTGTAATTGTAGGAAAGAAGAGCCTGAAACTTTTGAATAATGTTTGTACTTTCACCCACAACCTTATAATATTTATGAGTTTAAGAGTTAAATTTATTAGGGTGGTAAATACTAAATATTGAAATGTGTTTCTGAAGTGAGTTCTCTAATCCTACGAGTAAAAGTAAATGATGTTTAAGTTAGACACACTAATTAAATATATATAATTGTTTAAAAGTTTCCAACTCTGAATAAAAGCTGAACTGGTCCTGCCTGCTGTAGTAGTAGTAGTAGATGTATGTTCAGGAGAATCCTCACCACCTAGATCTACTTCCTCTCCATCAATTACATGATCATAGTCACCCATTCTTTTATCTAAAATCATCCTTTGATTAATCTTTTCATCCTTAATTCATCAATCTCCATTCACGAGTTCATCCTTTTATTCACGCATCATTAATCCTTTTCATTGTAAATCTTGTAAGGGACAAAAAACGCCGGTGAAAACTTTAAAATGCAATCTATACGCTGCCACATAACTTCGACTAGATGTATATAGATCTGCAGATTCTAATTAATATTTAATAGGTTAGATTGGTCCATCTAACGCTGTAAAGCCTCAAACACTAGTCTATACACACACCCTGCCTTCAACAATATCGACCGTTCTACATTTACTCAGGAATAATACTGTGTTGTGTGTATCTTGTAACAGCTGAGGAGAGAGGTTGCAACTTTAAACAATTTTACAAAAATCAATATAATACATACAATTTGTATATAATTCAACCATAATTTTGTAAAAGTTGTTACACTTTTTTTTAAGACTATTCTATAGCTGTCTATGAGTGATGCATGATCTAAAAATTGATTATTTCTCCAAAAAATAAAAAAATATGTTATTTGCTACTTCTTCGATTTTTTAATTTAAAACGATTGCAAATTAGAAACTAATGATACAAAACTACCCTGACCAATCTTATAAACTTATTTCTACTTTCAAGCTGCACTAAAAATTAAAATAAATCAAAAAAATCAAATAGTCTCGATGAACTGTAGACTGGATGATTATCGTCTTCGTTCAATATTTTTTTTCCTAAAAATCTTTGGCGGCAAATGCGCAGACCGAGCGGCGAGCTTTTTGAAAAGTTAAATTTGAATTTCTGAAACAATTAAAAACATTTCGTTTATATTTTGTGGATGGAAATACAATAAAGATGTATTTAAGTGTTGATTAAACAATTTTAAATTATCTCGGATCTGTCATAAAGAATGCTTTTTGGAACCCTTCCCCCCTTCCTATCAAGCTTTACATGACCCTAATTTTATCAGTGATACTATGGGTCTGTCCTTGAGAACACCTTTTGGAGCCCCCCCCCCCTCTATCGGGTTTGTACACGACCAATATATACTATAATTTCATTCATATTTATTTGGTATTATTTATAAATAAAGTGAGGTTACAACTGATAAAAGTTTGACTTGTGGCCGCAGGGCGCGCGTCCCACAGGCAATCTAGCCTAGCCGCAGCGCTCGAAATCCGAACTTGTCTAGACGTAGTGCTCGGTCACTTAGTGTGTCCTGTTGCTGTAGCGATTTAATTATAACTTTATAGCGTATATGGCTATAGACATTGGTTGTTAGGTTCTTTTGGCCCTCATCTGAATTGGGTAAATTTCGGGCACCATGCAGAGAAGTAAGTTTGGTAATTCCCTAGGGAACGATTTATGGACTCTCCCCTCCTACCAAGCTTGTACCAATTATGTACATGGATCTCATTTGTAATACATGGATATAATTGATCATGTGGCCCCAGCGCCCGGCCCCCTAGCCTGTCCTAGCCGCAGCGCTCGGCCCAGAAATTTTCTTAACTTAACCTAATTCTAAAATAATATAAAAATAGATAAAAATAATTTTGCTGAAAATTGAGTGGTCATGTACAAATTTGATAGGAGGGGCGGGGTCCAAAAACTGTATACTAGGACGGACCCTAAAAATTTTAACAACTTTCTCGAGAACCTTTTTTTGAACTCCTATCCCATTTTTTCAAGTTTTACATACACTTTTATGTTTTGGTAACTTCNCCCCCCCCCTCTAAATACTTCCTGGCTTCAATGCAAATTTGTTTCAGATAAGTCTTGGAAACAAAATGGCTGAGACTGGTTGGACTAGACCTAAACAATCTTTTAAATTGAAGAAAAATAATAGTATCTCAGGGAAGCCCCCTCCGTTAAGACGAGAGGTAGTTAACAATGGTTTATACATAAGGGGGGGCTCATCCTCACCCCCCTCCCCCAAATGAGTGTAATCTATGGTTTCCAAGTAGTTTTCTGGTCTCAATTGGGTACTTTGCCCCCCTTTAAACCCGCCCCACTCCTGAACAAATTCCTGAGTACGCTCCTGGTAGTTAAGAATCGACAAGTCAGTTGAAAGCTTTAAAGTTTACCGATAATAGATGGTTAACTTTCGAGCTTTTATACCCTTTTTAGGTTTTAACCTCTTCAATTGTTTATTTTCCAGTCATGCATAATGGGGATTTTGGCGAGTCGATGATTAAGTTTTATCTCTATGTTTTGTTTAATGTAGCAATTAAAAACAGTTCTACTTAGCGTAAAATCTGAGGAAATGCTCGATACTTCTGGGCAGTGAAGATTTAGTGAATTTGTTTAGCAAAAAATAATGTTTTGTTTTATTTTTATTTTAAAACTTGATGTACCATTTAGAAACGATGAATTTTTATGTTCTCTTTTTTTAAAAGTTCAGATTTGGGTTTTAGGAGTAAAAAGTTTTTTTGGTTGATATTTTACCCCTTGGATCCGGATCCAGGAAGCCAAAATCTTGCGGATCCAACGGATCCGGATCTTAAGCACTGCTTCTGGGGCACGAACTCGTTCTGGGATGGAGGTAGAAGGTTCGCGCTTATCCTTCTTCTCCTGGTCGGGAAGAGAGAAGTCTGCTTGAGGTGGTAGAGGAGGTGACAGCTCTAAGCTGTCGATATCAGTATGACAATCAACCAAGGGTTTTCATATGTCTCATTATCTCTGAAAGAACACACTGTAAATGTTTGCTTCAACTTCAATAAAAATGTGTACAGAGGTTTGTAGAGAGTCCTTTTCCCAGTGATTCCAGTGACAGAGTTGTTGACATCCTGGAATATTAACCAGATTGATGTAATCATTTCGTAGAAAGTTCTGACAAATATAAACATTGCTAGCCATGCTGTTATAAAACTGAGGAAACAGTGGAAGTATTTTTTTTTGCATAATTTAAACGCAATATGACAGCTAAAGAACCAGTTTTATTGTTCAAAATTACATAAATATCGTGGTCGGGTAAGAGACTTGCTAAACTGTTTGATAATCAACGAGGTTTAGAGCTGTCCTAAGTGCACACAACTCGTATTCCTTTCCCCTTTCCCTTTCACATTAGGGTCTCTTACAGATCCCATTTCCTTATGTTCCTTGAGTACAGTTTATATTTGTTGTAATACTCCATTCATCTTGTACAATTTACAATGTTCACTTCATTTAAAGTTTATATTTGTTTTTATATTTCATTCCCTTGCACAATTTACGATGTATACTACATTTATATTCCCTTACAGTATACAGTATATTCCCTTTTACAACTTCACTGCATGTAATTGTACAGTTTTATATTTGTTAAGATTTCTGTCCCTGCGGGAGCAAGGTTGAATGTAAGTCTACCGGCCGGGCAAGTAAAACGCAGGAAATTATTTAAACTTTTTACTAGATTAGATTTTGATTTTTATAAGAGGGGGCTGGGATAATTTTAGTAGTTGTTTTTGATTTTAATATTTATAATTGACGTATACAATGCACATTTATGATGCAAGTCTCATAACGCCGGCTTAAACGAGTAATATTTTTATTAATATCTTGGAGAATCAAGTACAAAAGTTAAATGTTAAAGTTGTACATGGAAATAGAAAATTTATGTTATCTGTTAAAAATTAGATTATTTAGATATTCCAGGGAATCGTGTTTCTTATTCTTACAATTAAATGATGGAGGTATTACAAGTTATTTTCTTTGCAGGTTTGCATTAGCAAGGGGACAAGTGGTTACGTAACATTATTATTTCCCAAATGAAGTAGTTGTAAACATTTTTATTGTCTTCTGATATAAAAATGCTCGAGAAAAGCTGGTTGTTATTTTACTTAATTAACTTAACGTCCCTCAGTTAGGGGAATCATAGGTCGGTAATATTGGTCAAAAGGCGGTAAAAAAAAACTATTATTATTCCTCTTTATACAAAGTTTAGATAAACACAAATCCAGAAATCCGTTCTCACTCAGCTCCGATGAATCTGTGGAGAAACGACGAAAGCTTGAAAATACTCTGATATCTCGGGATCCAGGGAACTCAGTGGATTCAAAAGGTTTTAAATATTTTCAGAATATTTTCATGTTTATTTTGCATTTAGAATATAATTTATAGAAGATTATTTGTTATATTTAGTTAACATTTAAAATATAATTTATATAAGAAAAGTTTTATTTGTATTGCTCATCGTATAGCTTCATTTTTTATAAAGTTGTTGAAAACGTGTTCATCCATTATTTTTTTGCGATTTTTTTAATACTTCCATTATATATAAATAAAAAAAAACATTTTAGAAAGATCATTTCATAAAAATCTATAGAATTATAAAAAGTCTTTACTTTATTTTTTTTAACAATCTACCAAGGGTGTATATTTTTCAAAATAATTAAAAAAAAAGTTATTTTTTATGATTTTGGGGTAAAAAATCAAAAATTAGTCATCATTTCCAAAAATGTCTTACTTTAAATTCAACCATATGGTTGAATGTAATTTATGAGAAATGGTATAATTAAAGAAAATTAATAATCCGAAGGAATAGAATGCGAACGAATACTGAGTTGATTAATTGGTTGATTAATTGATTAGTCGATTAATTGATTTAAATAAAAGATTCAGGTTTAGGAAGTGCTGACGGATTTCCAAGCGTGTTTGGAACTGATTTTAATCCTTCTCCTTCCAAACCTGAACCTAGGCTTACAGGTTAACCGAATAATATGTTGATCACTAAATCCTTGTAGAATTTAACCTGAAACGCAGGCGTTTATTATTTTGTTAACCCCCCCCCCCTTTTTCAAAACAATATTTTCATAGCATTACGTCTTTATTAATTTACTCGATTTTAACTGAGTTAATAGAAAATTAATGATTTTATTATAACTAAATTTTAAAAAAGAGGATAAATTTTTCCATTTGATTTTTCATTTGATATTTTTTCGCCAAATGTATGAATTCATTTTAAAAAAAGTATCCCTAAAGCCTGAAAACGACCTCTTCGCCATTGATCTTGGGGAGGGATAAAATCTTAAAATTTTTTACTTCATGTTAACAATACTGATATTAAAAGGGACAGATGAATCTAAATATAAACCTATCTCTGAGCTTTCTGTAGACTGGAGTATCAAGACCAGAGTTACTTTCACTGCACATCAGGTAGGTACATTGTACCGTACCGTTTGAACAATTACAGTGCTCAATATCTGGATTGTCACCTTTTCGGTCTTTCGGATACATAATGAATTTAAAGGGGGTGTCGTGTAACCTCAAGTACACTGGGTCCCAACGGTACCCTTTAAACCATTATCCCTTCAATGAGGAAGTTATCTTCGTTTTCTTTTATAAACTACGTTTATTTCCTTTATTGTTTCTGCATCAGATTTGCGCATCTCATTTGTTTGAATTAACCTTAACATGATTTAGAGAAATACAGGAATTTCTCATTAATTCTTGACCAGACAAAGCTGTAATGGGTACGGTTGGGGGTACTGTTGTGGGAACTGTTATGGGTACTGTTATGGGTACTGTTGTGGGAACTATTATGGGTACTGTTATGGGTACTGTTGGGGTACTGTTGTGGGTACTTTTATGGGTACTGTTGTGGTTACTGTTGTGGGTACTGTTGTGGGTACTATTATGGGTATTGTAATGGGTACGGTTGGGTGTACTGTGTGGGTACTATTATGGGTACTGTTAGGGTACTGTTGGGGGTACTGTTGTGGGTACTGTTGTGGGTACTATTATGGTTACTTTTATGGGTACTGTTGGGGGTACTGTTGGGGGTACTGTTGTGGGTACTGTTGTGAGTACTGTTGTAGGTACTGTTGTGGCTATTGTTGTGGGTACTGTTGTGGGTACTGTTGAGAGTACTGTTGTGAATCGGACTTGCCACTGAATGAAATTACTTCCACAGTTTCTGAAATGTTACAAATGTTATAATTGTTTAATTTTATAGAGTTGGTTATGGGGGGAACACTTATCTACAGTAGAGTCTGCTAGTTCCGTTACAGGCGGGGTCAGGTTGAAAATTCTCTTTATTTTTTACCATAATTATCATTATCATCATAATTATCGTTATCATCATAATTATCGTTATCATCATAATTATCATTATCATCACAATTAACATTATCATCATATTTATCATTATCATCATAATTATCATTATCATCATAGTTATCATTATCATCATAATTATCATTATCATCATAGCTATCATTTTCATCATAATTATCATTATCATCATAATTATCATTATCATCATAATTATCATTATCATCATAATTATCATTATCATCATAATTATCATTATCATCATAATTGTTATTTTCATAGTTATAATTATCATCATAATTATCATTATCATAATAATTATCATTATCATCATAGTTATCAGTATCATCATCTTCTTTCTATTTTATATTCTATATGTTTACATTCTAAAAATAATATTTGCTTTATGTTGCTGATCTTTCTGCAAACCTTATCAGGGGCGTAGTCATGAATATTTCAAAGGGGGGGGGGGATTGAATTTTTTCCGATTGAGCTCCAAATCCTTTTGGAAACATAAGATTTTACTGAACAAGGGGGAGAGGGGCTGAGCAGCACCCTTCTCTGAATAGTGAATACGCCTCTGAACTGGATGTACATTTTAGAACAATAATAATGACTAATAAAATAAAACTTTAAAATTGTATTTACCTTTAACAAACTCTCCTGAGTCTCCACACTATGACCCACATTTTTCATGACAAATTGTTTTAATAGAAAATTTTATTTTGCAACCTTTCAAAGATTTTTATGAACTTTTGTGTGGAAAAATTCTACATGAAACTATTTTTATTTACTTTAATTCAATATTGTTCGACCTATAAAGTGAACCCTGCTACATCAACAACAACCTTGCTATCTTTTTTTGTTGTAGATGCCTTGATATTGCCAATGGGAACCACTGCCTTGATACTTCTGCCTCAACCCAGTTCCACTCCGCCACTGGATACTGGCAACATCCGGCATTAGCCGGTCTTAATCTTTATCCGAGGTAGAAATTATTGCTTTTGATCCGGTGAATCCACGGTCGGGATTCGTAAAAATATGTGGATCAACGGATCCAGATCTGAGTGGATGAAAATTAACCAAGTAAACATTAAAATTCTCATGATGCAGGGGGTTTATATATTTTCTTAAAATATCATTCCCACCGTTTGAAAATCATATTTTCCCCAGAAGTTAGATATAATTAGGTTCTATTCGCTGAATTGGGGAAATAGATCGATTTTTGAGAAAAAGTATGAAAAAGAATAAAACATTCCATTCCTTAAGATGTCATTATTTTCATTAATTTAATCAGATCTTCAAAAATGAAGGGGATGGGGGGGGCATAATTCTTGAAAATATACACCCCCTGTCTCAAATCTGAAATGATTATAAATAACAACAAATGTTTATTTATGAATATTAAAAATTGGTCGATCGAATATTATTTTAATAATAATAATATGTTTTTTGCTTGATTAGCATAAATGGATGGTATCCTACATTTTAACTAATTTCTTAAACATTTATTTTGTTTAGATTTTCAATCGATATGCAACATTAAATATCTTGTTTAGGTTTGGTCAATCTAGCATGTCTAAAGTTGACCGACTCAACCTATCTCAAGATATGCACAGACACATTGTTTCAGATTGGATCACGAGTCTGCAGGTCGTCTTACAGTTCTGTATTTTTTTACTTCTTATTATTTCTATATTATTTAGAAGTCAATGTTCGAAGGTTATTCCCTAGATTTATTAGAAAAGCATTTAGACTTTTGAAAGAGATATATTAACTATTGTTAAACCCAGCTAAGAACATACATTTGGTTCTACCAAGTTTTCGATACTTTGAGGCTCAAGCAAGGAGTTCATAAGTTGTGATTCGACATTCAATCAAACGTGCATTCAGATAAACAAGAAATAATCTGTTAATATGCTGGGAATGAATTTGTTTATTTTTCAGAAAGTTAAGACCAAGTCGCAAAGTTTTTTTTGCATGCAAACTCGCTAGTTGTGTTTTTAAAAATTTTACTAATAGTAAAAGTAATGAAAAAATTGTATCAAATGTTTCAAGATTTAAGCAGGCGCTTAATTTAACCCGGGTTTTGGCGGATTTAAACCGCGGCTCAAATTCTTTAAATTCCATCTCAGAACAATTTATTTTGTATATGTTCCAGGTTTCTATATTCTTTATTTAAACTGTATTTTAGTCTGTATATCAACTAGTGAAAGCTCAGCAGTGTCCTTATTTCTACGTTTGTGCTCCGTCATTCACTTGCCTTTTCAGGTAAATCCCCCATCCTTTATAAGCCATAGCTAATTTGATGGGGGGGGGGGATGATATGATACGTTTAAAAAAAACATTTGACCCTCTCTTTTATTATGTTGGAAAAGTTAGTTCATTTTCCCCATCTTAATTTTAAAAATCATTTATTTTTGCCTGTATTTTATAAATTTCTTAAAAAAATGGTTGACTTTTTTCGCAGAAGTAGGAAAAATATAATGACCTCTTGGGGGAATTTTTAGGGAAAAGTAAAACATAATTTCTTCCGAAAAATTTTTAAAGTACATATCTCTGCCTCCCAAGGCCCTATGTTCCAGTAGTTTTTCATTTCTCCTAAAGTATTATGGTTACATGATGTAAATATGTTTACCAACATTCTTCCATTATTAGGAAAAATGCTCATTTTTTCCTCGACAAGGACGTCAAGGGTTACCCACAAAGGATGAGAATATGAAGACGACCTGTAACGCTTAAAAAATTACGGTCTCGAGGGTAAATTATGTGTTCTGCCTTAAATATAGTCTTTAATGATTTTGCAAAGAAAAAAAAGTTTATAAGGAAACGGACAATATAAATTTCGTACATTCATCTCTGAAGTCTTATCCTTAGTGGATACAGGTAATATTTGCGTGAAAAAAAATTAAGGATTTTTTCGCTACACTATTGAACAAACAAAATACTTTAAGGGGCCCGAACAAATAAAGTTTAAGGTTAAAAGTTTTTAATTATTTCCAGTCGTCATTTTTATCCTTGAGGTATTAGATAAAGATACTGACATTGTACTTATAATCTTGTAACCCCCTTAGGGATAGGAAAATAATATATTGTTTGTTTGGGACTGGACCGTTATGTCGAGGGTTCGGATAAATATATATATAAAGATACTGACATTGTACTTATAATCTTGTAACCCCCTTAGGGATAGGAAAATAGTATATTGTTTGTTTGGGACTGGACCGTTATGTGGAGGGTTCGGATAAATATATCATCATTTTTAAAAGAATATTTGATAGAGCTGCTGGTATTGGTGGATCCCAACAAATACTGGCGCTTCTCACCCCAACAACCAGTGGGTTACGAAGTGCTTTAAAACGTGAAGATGTTGATTTTAGTTCTCCTCTTCAGCAACCTCTGCAGGATATTCAGGATAATAAGGTAAACACCCGAAGGGACTGTAAGCCTAAATTCAAGTGACCCTCAATGCAAAGATGTCAAGGTCCGATTCGCAAAACTGTACAGAGCGTACAGTGTACATTGTATTTTAGAGGGTTTTAACTTTCTAGTGGTTTTCTAGATATTGAAACAAACAGATCTCTTTACTCGGCGAACATTTACTGAACATCCAAAGTTTCAAAGGGTATATTTGTTAATCAGGCATTACCCTCTTTGAATAGAGAGTCAATTGAAATCACTCTTACAGTCCATTTAAAATACAGGGCAATGTATTTAATTTAGATATTTCAATATTTAAGTTTTGTTTGCTGTCAAAGTCAGAAAAAAAGTACGAATTCAAAGTTTTATTTTATATGAATTTGCTTAAAAACTGTTCACTGTTCAGGCTTCTAGCCACCTTAAAAGTTTCACATGTAATGTCTTGTCATTGATCAAGGAAGAGGTCTTCAAGTATTTATTACTGTGACGAAAAAAAATACCTTTACAACATACAATTACACAACTGTAAAATACTACAACTGGGGATATTTCCCCAAATAAATTTCCCCTATTCTTAAAAATAGTTAAAAATGTAGCAAATAAAACTTCCAGGACTTCTCTGTACGTATTTGACAAAAAAAATCACGTTTTGGTTTAAAAATAAATCAGAGTAATAAATTGAAATCCTTTGGCTCAAATTAGGAGACTAAAAAAACATTTACTCCTAAATTATCCATCTAATATATTCTCTCTTCTCTGTCAATAATAATTAGGTTTTGATGGAAGACTTTTATTGTTTAAAATTCACTGTTTAGAAAGATTTTTCTATTGATAAAATTTGTTTCTGGTATCAATTAATTAAACTTGGTTTGTCGAATCTTCATTGGCGCTTCTAAATCCAAAAGGTCTATATCCGTTGTATCCAAAGTTATTGAAGTTGTTGTATCCGGGTCTAAAGTTGTTGTATCCAGGTCTGTAGTTGTTGTATCCAGGTCTACCAGGCCTATATCCATTGTATCCAAAGTTATTGTAGTGGTTGAATCCGGGTCTGTAGTTGTTGTATCCATTGAAGCCGTTGTTTAAAAGCCCTCCGAGGAAGAACCTGAAAATTATATATTCAATCTAAAGCGTCATTAAATTTTTACTTTTAATTAAAATGTTAAAAATTTATATCGGCTAAGCCGGTTTTTAAAAGCTAATTTCGTGTATTTTTATAAATATATTTCGGACAGTTTCTATGTACTTACTTTGAGTCTGCCTGGACCCCCTCCCCTCCCTCCTGTGCAGCCGCTTGGCACACTACCAGACAGAAGACAGCAGCTCCGAAAATCTTAACAATGGACAATATTTTACAGTAATTAAGTTATAAAATCTAGGTGACGTAATGGTAAAACTTCCGCCACTTACCCTTCTTTTTTTATTTGCAATTTGACGCATTTAAAATCTGTACAGCGGAAATAATAAAAAAAAACAAGATTTCCAGTACAATGGAATTAAACTTCTACTAAGGCTAATGTGCATATTTGTTTATTCTTACTTGATGGCAAGTAAAATTATTTATGATAGTGCATAACAAAGGAAGTAATTTGTTTATGAATACCCGCCCTTAAAACAAATAAAATTTATTTAAAAAATGCTAAGCTAAATACATTTTTCTATTTTAAACTTAAATACAACTATTATGCATGGAGGGGAAAAGTTTGTTGGGAGCTCTTTCTGAAAACCCGCAAAATATACTTAGAACATTTTTTGTATTCTAAGAATTTAAACGTTTCGTAGAGAAGACTTGTTTGAATATGGTGGATTCTCATTTGAACTACTCATTTCAACTATTTTTTTTGTTCATTTGAACTGTTTTTTGTCCATTTGAACTATTTTTTTGCCCATTTGAACTATTTTTATGTTCATTTCAACTATTTTTATGTCCATTTGAACTATTGTTTTGTTAATTTCAACTATTTTTATGTCCATTTAAACTATTTTTATGTTCATTTAAACTATTTTGTTTATTTCATAATATTAATAGTTCAAATAAACAATAATTCAAATGAACTAAAAATAGTTCAAATGAGCATTAAATAGACTCTTTTGAACTATTGTTCATTTAAACTATTCACGTGGTACCACGTGCAGTAGTTCAAACTATCAATAGTTCAAATGAACAATAGCTCAAACGGGAGTAGTTCAAATGGGATAGCATCTTGAATATGGTTTAGAGCGGTTAGAATTTAAAAGTAGTAAACTTACCAATGATATCTTAGTATTCATGTTGAAGAAGACTTGTTGAATATGAATGTTTAAGATCCTAGGTCGGTCTTAAATACATCCAATTCAGGATTTCCCGGATTTTCCCGACATCTTCAGGGTTTCCCCCACCAAGTAAATTCGGAAAGTCTTTAATTAATAAATCATTCAATTTTTCAGATCAATTTAATAGACTTAATTAGTTCTAAAGTTTTTGCAAATAAAAAGGTTTTTTAAAGTGAAAAAATTGTTGTGATCTAATTTCTGAATTTTACTCGTTAAATTGGTGGTTGTGTTTAACAACGTATGCAGGCTTTGTATCTAGGCAATCTGATGGNCTTGGGACCTGGGAAATCCGCAAATTTATGAAATTTTTAATTTATATTATTGTTCGTGACTCATAATAGGCAATTCTAAAACTTTCCTCCACTTTTCGTAAATTACGATTGTTAGTTATATTTTGAAGATTTTTTCCTTATCTTTTCTATAAATTTATATCAAGTATCATGCTTAGAATAAAGCGGGAGATAACATTTCATTGTTAACTTAACTTCATCATTTTTTTAAACAAAAATGGTTAATCACACATGCTTTTGTCTTAATAAACATTTTCAACGCCTTTTTTCCCGTTTTGCTTGAACGTATTTAACAGATTTACAAAATATATATACAATTTCTACATTTTTAAATAACATCATATTTTATCAAGCTGCGATGTATGTAGAATAGTATATATATTTCCCCAATATTACTTTCTCAATGTTACTTTTTGCAACTGAGAATGTTAATAAATGTTGTCAGCTACATTTTCTATATGGAAATACCTAATCATAGTGGTTAACAATACATGGTTCAATTTTTATTTTTTTTGATAACATTCTTTAAATTCGAGAGCTTTTGTTGATAATATTCAACCTCCTGAGACCTGATAAAGGAATCCCTCATATTTATATATTTATATCCCCTTTTTGATTTTTTGCAGACACTCCATTTAAAAGGATTTATTTTCGGTGACCTCATGATAAGATTTATTAATTATGTCTACGACTTAGTTTTAAGCGAACATATTTTTTTGCGAAAAAATACGAAATTTTTTATTCGTATTTCGCAAACTTTTTTGCGAAAATGAATAAATCGAAAATATTCAAAAATTGTACAAAACGCGAAAACAATTTTCATTATATCAAAATTAATAATTTCTCTTCCGTATTTTTTTTACGAAAATTTTACAATTCGTGAAAATTTCGCATTTTTCCGCAAAACATTTTTGCATTAGGCGACATTTTTTTTCTTTCGCAAAACGTTTTTCCCTTTTCGTTGGAAATCCTACTAGACTTCACTGAATTTCGGGTATGTCAAAAATGGTCTATCCTTTTATATATAAAAGATTATTGATAACATCCTAAATTAGGAGTCCTGTGAGAAGGGTGAAGAGGGCGAGGAGGGCGAGGAACCTACAGAGTTTCTTGAGAGTTTAGGAATCCAAGCAGATTCCCTTCAAGGGTTCATCTCATCCCATCCAAAGAACAGGCTCCAGTTAGGTAACATAATCATGTTTTGGGTCCGTTCTAGTATACCATATTTGGACCCCCCACCCCACTATAAAATTTGTACATGACTTTTTTCAGAAAAATTAATATTTATTTAGTATTATTTCGGGGTTAGGTTAGGTTAAGACTATTTCTGGGTCGAGTGCTGCGGCTATGACAGGCTAGGGGGAAAGCGCTGCGGCTAGGACAGACTAGAAGGCCGAACGCCACGGGTAGGATAGGCTAGAGTGTAAGGCGCTGCGCCCACATATCCAATTTTATCCATGTGTTAAATATGAAATGCATTTTCAAAACTGATAGAAGGGGGGAGGGGGGAGCCCAAAAATCGTTCTCAAGGAAGTTACCAAATCACGTATTTAGTTAACATCGTTAAAATATTTCGTCTCTAACTCACCAAACTTATCATCTCCCTTTATTTGTATTGGTTTGGTGTATCCCAATAATCCCCTAAGGGGGTTCTGTCCTTGAGAACGATTTTTATCTCCGTCCTTCCCCCATTATGAAATTTGTTGGTTTAAGTTTGTACGGAAATAGCCTCTTAAAGAGTGGGGTAATGAATATAAACCTTTATTATCTTATCAATGATTATCTATAATTGAGCAATGCATGAGAGATATCTTCATTTTTCTCCTGAAAATTGATTTCATGGCACAGGGTTGAATATTTATTTTATAGATGTTTCAATCATAGATTCTCAGTCAAAGAGAACTGTCAAAGGTACTGTAAGCGTAATTTCAAGTAACCCACCATGCAAAGATGACAATGTCCGATTCACAGCAACCTTTAAAGCTATGTCCAACCAATTATGAATTAGATTATGTTAATAATGTTTACTATCTTGAAAACTGTAGTTTCTCTACAAATTTACTTAAGTGACTTGAGCATTGAGCATTTCTACTGCAGAAAAACATATAGGAATTTAACACTGAGAAAAAAGTAAATATCCACCACAATATTGATCAGATAAAGGTTTTAGGGGACCAATTTGAATAGGTTACTTGAAATTTCGCGTACATACCCTTTAAGATTGTTTGGAAATGGCTTATCAAAAAGAGCGGCGTAGTGAATATAAACTTAACATTGCCTACAGGACATCATACTTTGACTGTAGGTTGATTGGTATTAATAATTTTAAAATCTAAGTTTGAGAATGAGAAATTTACATTTTGCTTTTAAAAATTGATTTTGTGGCACATGTTTGAATAATTATTATACAGATGTTTCAAATCATATAAAAAGCACTGTTAAGCTAAGTGTACTATGTAGCCCTTTTAAAAAACATTGAGAATCCTTTTAAAAAATTCTTTATTTTTATATATTTGTCCCCTTCCCTAGGTGTGGAATGTCAGTCCTTGTTAAACTATTTATTGAACGCTAAGTTGACCCAGGGACCTGCTGGACTTCCTCCGACCATACTTAGTCCTGTAGCATTTCCTGGAGCAACACTCAAGTAAATAAATGGTTGGTTGGTTGAAGGGTTGGTTGGTTGAATAATTGTTAGGCTGAATGGTTGGTTGGTATGTAGTAAATAACCTACTTAAACAAAGTTTTTTAGATCGGTACCAATTCTGGTATATCCTTCTGTATCCTTCGGTTTCTGTCTTTCAAGATACAACTCAATCAAACCGGATAGGACTCCTCAGTATTCTTTGGTATCTGTCTTACAAGATACAACTCAATCCCTCTCGTTAATGCACAAGGCATAGAACTATGCCGTTTGATAATACTTAAGTCAATATTAAACCAGATATGACTCTCTCAGTATTCTTGGTATGTAGTAAATAACCTACTTAAACAAAGTTCTTTAGATCGGTAACAATTCAGGTATATCCTTCTGTATCCTTCGGTTTCTGTCTTACAAGATACAACTCAATCACAAACTATTCCGTTCAATAATACTTTAGTCAATATCAAACCGGATAGGACTCTCTCACTCTCTCAGTATTCTTTGGTGTCTTACAAGATACAACTCAATCCTTCTTGTTAATACATGTGGCATAGAACTAATCCGTTTAATAATACCATATCAATTCAGTATAAGGTAATATACCTTAGTGTGTTCAGGTTTATAAATATGGGATTTTCTACGATATTTGTCACTGGTATGATGGTTGGATGGTTTGTTGTATGGTGAATTGGTTGGTTGGTTGGTTTGATAAGGTTGGATGGTTTCTGAATGGTCGGCTAGTTAGTTGGTAGGTTAGATGGTTGGTTAATTAAGAAATAGGTGAACTCTATCTATAGTTATGAAAAATAATAATGTTGTTGTGATAATAGGCTATAATCATAAATACTTTTCAAGTACATATTATCACCTCCCTTTTTTGTAGGAGGAATACTGCAATTTTTTTGTATTATAGTTCTAAAATTTCAGACTAGTTCTATTTTCTCATTTGGATACATATTTTTGATTGAGGGTTGTTGTGCGACTTGGAATAATTGGTAGATATTTTATGCTCTAGAAAGAAGACCACTGTTAAATACCAAGAAAACTTAATCTCATTCACACCTAAAAATCACAAAGGAGGGATTTTAGATTCCTTTCCATGTTATTAACATCAAACATCTTAAAATTATCGACTTCAATTTGGTTCTTCCTTTAAACATCAAACATCTTAAAATTATCAATGATTAAAAATATCTTCCATACCATCAAAAGTCTTCCTGTAGGCACACCCAAACCCTGATAAATTAATGCAAAAAAGCCTGTAAGGCTTAGAGGCTGAAACTGGCGTTCTGGCACAATGTCGGATGTCCACGGTAGTTAGTCATCAGGTTTATCAAATTAAAAAAAAAACTGAAAGTCATTAGATACATAAACACATTTTTATACTAGTTGGTTGGTTGGTTGGTTGGCTGGTTGGGTGGCTGGTTGGTTGGTTATTTGGTTGGTTGTTTGATTGGTTATTTGGTTGGTGATTGATTGGTTATTGGTTGGTTGGTTATTTGGTAATTTGGTTATGTGGTTATTTGGTTGGTTGGCTGGATAATGGTTGGTTGGTTGGTAGGTTGGTTAGTTTGGTATGACTTTCACATGAACCACCGAGCATGAATTTTTTTTTAATTTATAATTTTGTAATTTATGATTTTTTGATATAATTGGTTCTTGTATTGGTTGGATGGTTAGCAATTTGATTGAACTAATTGTTTCGTTTATTGATTGATTGTTTGGTTTAATGATGGATTGTTTGGTATATTGATTGATTGATTGATTGATTGATTTAGGTCACTTAAAGTAAAAGAACACACACTTGGGGGGAAGGCTGGCCAACCTAAATCCCATCAAATTGATGTTCAGGTAAACCTATTGTATAGACATTTCTGATAATGGAAGGACATAATTATGTAATTTGAATTAAATTTGTAGAATGTAAGGGGACCAAAATAGGATTTTCATTGAAAAAAAATAATTGGTAAATTATATCATGGGTTTTGTAAGCAAGATTGTTTGTTGTTAAATGCTAGTTTCATGTCCAGGCAAGCTTAATTATAGATGAGATTTTCGTGCTGGCATCAGCACAGTGAGGATATAGAAATTCTGTGCTCCGCTCTAAGTAGTTGGAGCCTCTATTCAGCTGGGGAGCGCTGTGCAAAATTAAACATGTGGGACCACACCTTAAAAACAAACAAAGAAAATATCTCACCAGAAACAAGGAAAATAAAAATATAAAAATAAGAATCGTGAGAGGTTGGTAACTATGCTGCATATGATGCCAGTTTTTACTCAACCAGCTGCAATACCGCACTCTGAGCCACAAAGCCAACAACATTTTGTAATACCGTGCAGCTTCAGTGGAAAAAAAATTGGAGGAAAGTAGAGATTTTATGCTATGAGAGTCCTTCAATATCCTCCCTTCCTGTCCATCTCCTACACCTCAAACCTACCTTTTTGTCACAAACAGCATTTGCGAATGATTTCTTTGGGTGAAAATATTATGGGCTCCATTTTTAAGACCACTAAGTAAAATTGCAGAAACCTACAAACAGGAAACAAGAAGAAAAAATAAAATTGAACAGGAAAATGGAAGAGAACTCCCCAATGATAAGCTTTACACCATCAGTATATCCTGTTGGTGAATGGAGACACCATTAGAGATGGGACTGGAGATGTCTCCCCCTCCATTTCATCCTAAAGAAAATACACTATGAGTATGTGATTCAGCCCTGATCAGCTTGTTGTCAAGTCAGGCATTCCCGCTTAGAATAGACAATTACAATTGAGCAAAAATAATAAATTGTTAAAACAAATAGATGTGGTTTGCACAAAGTTTTAAAAAAAGAATTATTTCTAAGCACTAAGATAAGCAAATTAGACATCAAGCCTTAAACATTTTTTGTAAACTAGTTAAGTTTTATTGATGAAGTATGTTCACTATGCATCTCTATATAGATGTTAAGTACTTTCCCAAGGGTTTTTCCATGTGGCAACTTCCCTTCTGTGCAATTTCCCAAGTGTCAACTTCCCAAGTCTGTCATAGACGTCACGTTTGGCTTCCCAGTTTGTTCTTGCAGTTGCGCTCTCCCCCCTGGCCCATCCTAGTGCAGCGCTCGGCCCCCATTGCAGCCTGCTGGCCTCAGAGGGCTTAACCTAACCTTTGGGAAGTTGCCACATGGGAAATTGCACATTTGGGAAGTCGCTACTGGATAAGTTATCCTTGAGAAAATGCCTTTGGGAAAGTACCTAACACCTCTATATATAAAGTAGTAATCTCCTTTTGTCCGCGTGTTTGTATTTCCGATCATAACTATAAAACCCCTTGACTGATTAGTCTCAAAATTTGACTGGGGAACTTGGATAACCACGGTAATGCTCTAAGCTTGGTTTTAAGATTCTAACTTGAATGGGTCAATTTTTAAGGGAAAAATAGCTAAAATCGGAATTTATGACCAAGCGTGGGTAAACGGCGGAAGTAACTATAAGTACCCTGGGCAACATTAGGTTCCTAAGCTAGTAAACAAAATGATCTGACTTATAGAACATCTTTACAGACTTGGTGATTTTGTATTTTCACATCATTGATTAAAAAATGGCAAATTTAATAAAATTGAAAATGTATTAGATGTTGGATGATTTTTTTGATTCAGAAAAAAAACCTTGTCAAGATCTTAGGATATGGGCGTGGCAACTTTTTTTATTTATGACTTTTCAGGGACCTATTCTGCCAGAGACACTGCAACGATTAATTCTTCTCTCTGAAGCGCATGCGCCAAGTTGCCGCGTTCGTGTTCATACTCAGGAGGATACGATCAGCTTCACGCTCTTTAACTCACCAGAGGACCAGGTATTGACATAATGCAGTCAGTGAGACCCAAAATACCAGTGAATAGAAATACAACATGGGAGTATTGATTTATTTTTAGGAAAATCATAAAACTTTCGTTGTTTTCCATTTTTGCCAGTTTTTATTTTGTGCTACTTCTGACCAATAAACCAATATACCGATATCAACATATTTTAAGTAATTTTATTTTTTATTATGTATGACAATTTTTAATTTTACCGATAAACTTTTTATTTATTTTGCGTAGGTTGCTCCCTCTGCATTTGCTTCTGCAGGTCTCAAGGATTCTGGTTTACAGGAATCTCTACTTAATAAATTTTGTCAGGTTAGGTTTTATCTTCATATTAAGTATGTTTTTTTTTTCTCTGGGATATTTGTCCAGAATTCCTTGTGGAAGGGAGTTTTTCTTCAGCTTAATCTGACCTTAATATTCAAACTTATTTTCTCTGGATTATTCTCCTCTTAAAGTTGATTTGTTTGAAGCTCAATTTCAACCATATAAAAATATAGAATATAGCTAACAAATAGGGGGGGGGGGTGATAGTTTTTTTCTAAACTTACGACATGTCCACAGTTTATCTCACATTTTTTGCGTGAAACATATTTTTAGACAGACAAAAAAAGTTTTTGAAAATCATAATTTTATTTTAAAATTTTTTTGAAAAATAGTAAAGTTTTTCCAGTTTTTTGTTTAATGATTTAACTTCTAACGGAATGATGGTTGTTTGTTTGTAAATGTAATACATGTTTAGGTTCAAACAGGAGGCCCTGATAAAATTATCAGAGAACTTAATATCAGGAAATTATTGATTTTCTTTAGTGTAGATATTTGAAGGATAACATTAAACAATTTGTCTTTCAACGATTGTTTAATAGAATATCATTGTAATTTTAATTGACCCATTTAAAAACTAGCGTGACCAACTTAAAACGATACCATTGAAACCTTAATCTGATCAATAAAGTTAAAAATAACAATTTTTCATAGCTTGGTCGACAAATCTGTTGGTTTTCTTGTAAATTTATTAGAGTATTGTTGTGAATCGGACATTCCACTCCATCAATGGAGTGTCACTTGAAATTACGCTTACAGTCCATATAATAAGGTTAAACAAAAGCATTCGTCATAAATTACAAACATAGTTTATGAAGAAACTGAAAAATTATCAATAATTTTTTGTAGAAAGGGGTTTTTTGAATCTACAGAGATTAGTTTGAACGGGAACCGCTGATGATGAGAATTTTAAAAAAATGCTTCTATACCAATGTACCTTTTTTCTTACTTTTCTATCATATTGTACACAAACTTATTTTTTTTTTGATCATGGATCATAGTGTTAATATTTATTTTAAAAGATATTTGAACTTCACCGAGCAAGGTTAACAAATGTCATAGGTCATAGGTCATGGGTCATGGATTGTGGGTCATAGGTCATGGACCATAGATAGGTTTTAAGATCATTATTCATATTGTTTTTAATTCAAAATATAACTCAACTTCACAAAGCCAAGGTAAAAAAGGTCATAGGTCATAGGTCATAGGTCATAGGTCATAGGTCATAGGTCATTTTAAGTTATCGGCTTTGGATCATGGGAACAGTAAACCCAGGAATATCAAAAGTCTTAAAACAGAGATCTTCAAAACCTTTTGGTTCAAAGATCATAGATCTGAGACATTATCCTTGAATCATGTATTAACCAATAATTTTAAGTTCATTGATTATTTTTGAGAAATAAAATGTAGATTTTGTATTTTTTTTTCTTTGCTTTATGTTTAGATTTTATTTTGCTAGTTCAGCTACCAATAGTTGTTTGACGTTACGTTTATGGGTATTATTTCTAAATATGACCTAAATTAACTGTAACTTTAAATACATTAAATTTTTAGACAAACTTAAAAGCAATGTCAGACCACATTTTGAAAACCCCAAGAGCGATTGTAAGTTTTACTGGAATACGACTAATCAAAGCTGATTAAAGACAATTCCCTGACATTGGGACATTCTGTATTACATATTTAGATATATGATATAATAATATCATCAAGGTTTTCCTTTATGTGATGAAATCATCTGCTATTACAATGAGTGTCATCTCATTTTTTTACAGCATTAAATGGACAATTTTAAATATTATTATATTTAGCTATTCTTTTGTTATATTAAACTTATGTATGAAACTAGATAATAGACATATCATTATCACTTTTTCTTTAAGATTGTATTTATGATCTCATTTTGACGACAAATATCTAAAAAGTGTGATGAACCCGTCAATAGTCTCATTTAACCTTAAAGGAAGAGTTTGCGATTTTTTTTCAGGGAGGCTCAGCACCAGTTGGGGCCTGAAAACCCCCAGAAACCGTAGATTTTTCTGATGCAGGGGTAGGCTAAACCCCTAACACCCCTCCCCCCCCGAACACGCCTCTCTGCCTATATCTCGTTGGTATATCTATCTGGCTGAAATATATGTGTGTCAATCATTGGATGGAAATAAAAAATGCAAATTTTTGTATTTTAATTATGGTTCATCATAGGCCCCCCTTTTACTACAGTTCGACCCAAAAGTGTTAGCAATCTAATTATTCTGTCCCTATGCTAAAACGGCACTTTTCACAAAGTAATACTTAAAAATAAAGTTGTGGAAATTACCAAACCCAACATTGTTTTGTTCAAAATAAGTAGTAAAAGTAAACAGTACCATTTTAGACCCCCTTTATTTGCAATATTACCATCTTACTCGTACTAGATCTATTATGAATTTTTAACTAATGATTGAATGCAATTATTTTTGTGAAAACAGCCAGACGAAGTAAAAAGATCAAGTGTAAGATTTGACATATCAGTTGATACTCTTTTTCTTAGCTGTCCTCAAAATAAAATATAAAAATATTAAAATATTATATTTTACATAAATAATACCAGTAATATAAAGGTTTAGATATGATATTACGATTTAACATACTGATGCATTGTTGTCATTTGGTTGGATTTTTTTTTCTTAAACTTCAAATATTATTCATTTCTTCTAAATTCTTTGACTCGGTTCTGTGTCGGCATATGATGTTTGAAGTTACCGACGATTGTCGGCCGTCCTGACGATATCGCCGATTCTTGCCTATCCTTGATTCCCTGCATTTGCATGTAACCTAAAAATATGTTGATTACATTATATTTACCTGATCCTAAGAGTTTTCTTTGTAGGAATACTAATTAGTCATGGGTCATGAACTGTTTGATAAGTTTTTTATTTTTATTTGTAAACTTTTAAATAGATTTTTTCATAATATTTACTAAGATTATAAAGATTAAACGAACTGAAGACCAGAAAATTAATTTTAAAACTTTCTTATTTATTTTTTTTTATAAATTTTTGATAAAAATGAACCTGGAAGAACCGCCGCAGCGGTAAGAGCCCCGTAGGCGGCCATCAGTTTACCGGCAGAAAATTGTAGAGCGGCAGACATCTTGCAATTTAGTATCAATCTTAAACAATACTTCTCAATAAATCTGATAACGCCTTTAGCGATATAGGGGCACTAAATGTAGGGTTTCCAACGCAAGTGGATTCTACTTAATTGCACGCTTTCCGTCCAACTTTCTGGCGTTTGTGTTTCAATTTTTTGATAAAATTCAATTTAAACCTTCTGGCACGCAAAAAATGCTATTAATTATTGCGCAATTCCTTACAACAAAAAATTCTATTTAAACTTTGGTAGTGGCATACATTAAACTGAATCTTACGAATATTTCAGTCTCAAATGCTAATAAAATTGAATTTATACTTAATCTTTTGTTATATAACATTCATTTGCAGCATGAGAACGAGAAAACTCTGGCATAGGAAGACGACAGTTCAGACTGAAGCAGACCCATGTAACTGGATAAGGGATGTAACAAGTTACTAATAAATTTTGTTTGACTTGTAACTATAACATCAACTACACTGTGATGTCTTTCTGTACCATAGTTTTCTGGTTATCACTGGAGCCATAATTTCCAATTTTGATTAAACGAACCTTACAGTTTTAACCAAAAAAGTTTCCATTTCAATGTTTATCCAATGTAAACAAATAAAAAATGTATCATAATAAATTGTTAATTAGTTGCCTAACCACAAGAAACTTTAAAATTTGAAAACTGTTGAAACTTGTGACACTCGGGCCTCGATTATTTTTAAATCAACAGAGATATTGTATTCCATTCTTGTATCTGCTGCATAAATTTGTAAGTCTTAACAGTTAAAATTATTGATTTTTAGATATAAAAGCAATTCCGATGCACGCTATTCCGCGCAATACCACGCAATTCCGCGAATATTTAATTTCTTCCTTTTTTCGCAATTATAGCGCAAGTGCGCACAATGAAATAGCGGAAGCAACCATTGGGCGGAATTCTGATTGGAAACCCTAACTGAATGAGAACGACTGTAAACGTATCTTCTTGCGGCTTTAAACTATTAGAGTGGAATACACGATTGACAACGATGCCTCTTAAGTATATTAAAGTATACTTGTTGTAGATTTATGCAAACTAAAATAATGGAAGGAAAATGTCAGAATTCAGCACTTTTTAGGACTAAAAACATCAATTTCTTCCTTCCTCAAAACAATTCATAGATAAAGGTTTGAAGGTTCGTTTGTGAATCATAAATGCCACTCTTTAAAAGAAGGGTAGCTTAAAAGTGGGTATACAGTTCCTTTAAACGAAATATATACGTCTCAAGATTAAGTTATAACTATTATTCTTTCAAAATGTAAAAGTAAGTAAAGTATTTGTATTATATTGTAAGTAAACAATTGAGATTTAGTTCTGAAAAAAAAAACTTTTGACAAAATTTTATCATCTCTGAAGTAGGCAGTCCACATTTTGAAAGTTCTATCATACTAGAAATATATTTAACATGTTTTTACCTTGTTTTATATTCTTGTAGAATCTGTGTTTACTAGCGCTATATAGTTAGCTTTGCCTATGAACTGTTACAATGATCTTCTTATTCTGAATGATTATCCTCCTCTCCTCCTGTTTATATACCCTTCTCTCTCTGTGTACTGTATAGGATTAAGAGCCTGGATACTGCACTGCGCCGGCTAGAGGAGCTTAAATCAAATCAATATGGCAGCATAGAGTATAAAGGGCTGGTAATAGGCCTATGTTCAGTATACGTGAGATTTGAAAGGTTTACATTGGTTTAAATACATCAAGGAGAAATGAAGATACAAGTGTTTTGTCAGGGTTGATATTACGTCGTAGATTTAGCCTTTATCCGACCCTCTTTCCTTCTAATCCTAAAACTATTCTACTCTATCCTAAACATATTCTACTCTAATCATAACCTATTCTGCTCTAATTCTAAACCTATTCTGCTCTAATCCTAACCTATTCTACTCTAATCCTAAACATATTCTACTCTAATCATAAACCTATTCTACTTTAATCCTAAACCTGTTCTACTCTAATCCTAACCTATTCTACTCTAATCCTAAACCTATTCTACTCTAATCCTAAACCTATTCTACTCTACTCCTAAACCTATTCTACTCTAATCCTAAACCTATTCTACTCTAATCCTAAACATATTCTACTCTAAACCGTTTCTATTCTACTCTAAACCTAAACCTATTCTACTTTAATCCAAAACCTATTCTATTCTAATCCTAAACCTATTCTACTCTAATCCTAAACCTATTCTACTCTAATACTAAACCTATTCTACTGTAATCCTAAATAAATTCTACCATAATCAACCTATTCTACTCTAAACCTAAACCTATTCTACTCTAATCCTAAACCTATTCTACTTTAATCTTAAACCTATTCTTCTCTAATCCTAAACCTATTCTACTCTAAACCTAAACCTATTCTTCTCTAATCCTAAACCTATTCTACTCTATTCCTAAACCTATTCTAAAGTCCTAAACATATTTTTCTCTAATCTTAAACCTATTTTTCTCTATCCTAAACCAATTCTTCTCTAATCCTGAACCTTTTCTACTGTAATCCTAAATTTATTTTACTCTAATCCTAAACCTATTCTATCCTAATCCCAACCCCATTTGTCTCTAATTCTTAACCAATTCTTCTCTTCAAACTTAAACATTTTCACTGACCATATTCTCAATTAAGCCTTAACTTTTTCTCCTATCATACTTTTGACTAATCCTCATCCTATTTTCCGATTCTATTCCACTCTAATTCTTAAACTATGCTTCTCTTATCCAATGCATAATATGTTAAAACTGCATTATCATGTATTTGCAGAGTTTGACTGAGATTTCAAAATTGTTATATAACTTTTTACAATCGGTTTACAATGGAAGCAACTATTCAGGATGTTCTAATAAAACTTGAATTTCGCAGTTGCTCAATGCTATGAGACCTAAATTAATTGATATTGTTGGAAACCCAATATATTGAACTTATTGTTAGGTCTCTAAATCTGTAGGTGACTAAATATAATAAATTGGTAACTAATAATTTGGTAACTAACAATTTGGTAACCCGACAGTTTGGTAACCAACAATTTGGTAACCAACAATTTGGTAACCGAGAGGCAAGGTTATAATGCAAGGAAAGTTAATTGCAGTTGCGTATACTCTGCGTACGAATTGAAACCAGTTCTCTTTGGGCGGAATTTGTAAACAAGAATAGATGCATCGTTTAGTTTGTTTAGTATCAGAGGAGGTTAAAAGCGTTAAATTTTGATAATTTTGATAATTCACTTATAGTAGTTTCCTATGACCAGAATATGTCATTGATTTTTCATGTGAAAGATGGATCTCATGTCAGGTTTTCAACATCCGTCTTGTGTTTACATTACCGCCCAGCGACAATACAATGCAGTACAAAAGATGCATACACACCTCTGAAATAACTTTCCTTGCATTATAACCTTGGACAGAGGTGGTTAGTATAAGGACTATGTCAGCTAATATTCATGTTTACCAAGGTTTAAAATGAATTTTAATTGATGAATCCTGGCTGAATATGCGGTAAGTGTATAAATGTAGACGATCAAAGTGAAACTAAATAATCTTATTGTTCAAATGAACCAAATCTTGAGTCCAAGTGATGAAAGTGACGTAAAGCATACTTTTATGATTGGTTTCTCGTGTTAGTTTTTGCTTCCAGGGAGTTAAGGCTTAAAGGGAGTGACCGGCTATGTAAGGTAGTTGAACTGAGGACGCAGTGTTGTGGAAAACTTCTGTAGGATTCATTTGAGACATATTAAACTTTTGAAAAGTCTGTAAATCCTGAGTTTGAGCGCAAATTCAACGTTCAAAACTCCTGATTTGGGGGTGGATACGCTTTCAGAATTAGTTTTTTTTTTAAATTATTAATTAACGACGACATAAAATGTAAAATATTCTACAATAAACTACAGACGTCATGTTTAGGAACATTTTGAGAAAATAAAAATTAATCTTATCATCGAAAATAAGTTCTCTTGTTCAATTATTAATTTCTATTATCTCATTATTCTAGTTTCTCGTTATTCACAAAGATGTTCGCAGATTTTCTATAATTATTATTGAAAAGACGACATTTAAAGAATTTGAAGAAATCTGCGAATAAATTCAAAGAAAATTAGAAATTCAATATAATAATGAAAACGAAATAATCGATTTTAGCATTGATTTATTGACAAATTTCTTTTGTGAAATATGTTCCTAGCCATCAATTAGATTACTGTATAATTTTTACTTTATTTTTCGTTGTCGTTATTTAATAATTTAAAAACAACTAATTCTGAAAGCGTATCCCCCCCCCAAATCAGGAGTTTTTAACGTCGAATTTGCGCTCAAAATCAGGATTTACAGATGAAGTTTTTGACAACACTGCATACTCAGTTCAACTACCTTACATAGCCGGTCACTCCCTTTAAATCATCTCCAAATTCTCCAAGTTATCAAATTGTTTCAAATTAATCTCTGTGAATGGTAATACTGGCCAGATATGTTTCAATTTAGCATTTAGCATCAAAAATATGTTTCCCGGATTATTAATTTTATAAAAGCACTTTGTGTGTGTACGCGAATGGTAGTTTATAATGTTTACGTGCAAGAAATTATGAAAAGTGTTAATTAACTTTTAAACAGGTGGGAGATGAATCTGCATAATTGAAAATTCATGTTTGACAAGTTGAAAAGATGATTTATTTACCAAAGACAATTTTAAAATGTTTTATTATCCTGATATCTTTAAAAAAAGCTAAATTTCTACATTTTTAACATGTAATCCTTTTAAAGCACAGAAGTTCCGGTTTTAGTTGATCCTGGCGTCAAGAAAAGTAGTTGAACTAAAGAGAGATAGCTCAACTTCATACCACTTGTTCCTATAATTCAATCTCAGTCTGCAAAATTTATTTTTCTCTTAGTTCCTTGATTATTTTTGTTATTACAAAACATGTTCTGTTTAGTAATAGTCACGGATAGGGTGGGGGAAAGATTCATTAACGAAACGGGGGCTTTCGAAAATTAACGAAAGAGTCCGTTAACCAACGGAAAACCCGATAATTTTTAAATCGTTAAAAACAGATTAGCCGTTTTGAAAAAAAAATTACGGTTAAAGACGTTAACTAAAAAGCTAAAAACGGCAAATTTCGATATTTTCTTATTAAAATTGTATTACATTTTTTTATTTTAAAATGTTACGAATTTTAATGTTTTTGAATGACGTATTCTGTGTTTAAAAACTATTAACGAATTTTTTTTCGCCGTTAACTCCGTTAATACTGTAATATACCATTAACTACTGTGCCATTAACGATTTTTTAACCCTTAACGAAATTTTTGTTCACCGATAACGCAGTTAATACTGTAATATACCAAAACGGCTGTGCCGTTAACGATTTTTTAACTGTTAACGAAACTTTTTCGGTGCTTAGCGTCGTTAGCGCGTTAATGTTGTAATGACGGTACCATTAACGGCTAAAGCCGTTAATGATTGTTTAAAATTTTCCGTTAACGTTATTCATAAAATTGAGATTGATTACATTGGTAATGTTAAAAAAAGGAAAATGCCGTTCCGTTCTTACCTTCAAAATTAACGGCCAACAAAATTTTTATTTTATGTTGCCTTGCATATATATATTTTTCAGTAAATTATCAAAAGTGTCAATTTTATCTTTCATTAGCTTTTTAGAGAACTTAAATATCTTAAATTGATTATGGAGCTATTAGCGTTTGAAAATTAACAATTAAAAAAAAACACCCTGTACATTAAACATCCTAATGGTCTTACAAGATCTTTATTAGAATAGTAATTAATAGATTAATTTTTATGATTGGACATTACATAAATGTTAGACAAGTTAGGTTATAACAGTATACTGATTTAAGATTACATAAACATTATCATATGGAAGATACAGATCTATTTTTGTATAAAGCTCTTGTAATATTTAGAAGAAACGAAAAACAAACAAATTTGTACTTTAATCTTTTATAAGTTCCTTTACAATTTATCAAGGAAAGATATGACTTGGCACTCAAACTTCAGATATTTTTTCTTTCTTAAATTAAATTAGAGTTTTTGATAATTCTCATTCAATATATCTCAAAAAAGGGAAGCTTAATTAATTTCCAGAAGATGTGGCATTCCCCTTCCCTAATGTTCATACAACTTAAATATCATTTTGTAAGAAGATTTTTATTTTAAATTAACCCTTAATTCATATTCATTTAATTTTTATAGAGTGCCATCATAGTTTAAAGTGCTCAATTAAAATCCTTCTAATTTTGACACCATAAAGACAGTCATTCATTGGTAAGAATTTGCAATCTTGTAACTCTCCAGTAGGGTTTCCATGCGCAAAAACTTTTTATTCCGTCTCCGAAAGATTTTACCTAATTTTGCTAAAAATTGTTTTTAATAATAAATGTAATTCCAAATATGTTCATATGATAATTATCAAAAACCTAACCTTTGAGAAAATGCACTAATACAAATATGTGCAAAATTAATATTTTTCTTCTGAAATCCAAAACAGAGACACGCAAAAATAACTTTTTGTCCTACCAATCAAATTTTTTGATATGGCATGCACTCAGATAAATTTTATATTTGAAGAGATAAGTTAGTCAGCTACAGATCAAGTTTTGCGCTCTTATTGCGCATATTGCTATAGGAAACCCTACTCTCATTGCTCTACTTTTGCATTCATGAAAGGGATGAAACCAAAATATGTTAATTTTACTGATTCATATTTATACGGAGTAAGAGAATCCCTAAGATAAAAAACTAGATCATATGATATTGCAGAACAAAAAGTAGGATATAAATATACTATTTCTGTTAAATTTTTTAATATATTCATACATTTTTCAGCCAGCCTTTGTTCTAAGGTTCATAAAAATTTGCCTATATAGTCCAGACATTAACTTTTTCAGCTACAACACACCAGTTGGAGTGGTCATAGTAAGAACTAATGATATGTAAATTCTCTACATATTTCTCGATGAGATGGTCAATTTCACCCTCCCGGAAAACATGATAGTACCGATGGTGGGTTAGAGATCCTCCTGCTTCTGCAGAATCTTCAGAATCACTAGCACTGTCCTTATCCTTTTCATCATTATTGAAGCTTCGCATTAACTCTTCTTCGAAGGATGATGAGCAGCGTTCAACACAAGTTGATTGATCCATGCTAGTATCAGGTGTAAGTGAAGAGCCTATTCTACTTTTAGGTTTAGATCCATTAGGTTCATCTGCATCTCTACTTCTACTTTCATAACTAGACTGAAGGCTTCGCTTACCATCATTACTTGAGCTTTTACTTCTACTTTCATGTCCATTTCTTTTAAACAACTTAAGCTTTGGCCGATCTTGTGATTTTATCTCAGGCTTAGGAGGTGAGAGCTGATCTTTCTTTACAGGGTTGCAAATCATGCTTGAAGGAACGTCTGAACTTTCAGCATTATTTTCATGGTCTAAATTTGTTTGCGAGGATAAATACTCATTTTCCTCAGCCTCCGAAAGAGAAAAACTTGAAGCAAGAGGAGGTCTATCATCAAAATCTGCACTTGACATGGAAGCCAGGTAACAAGAGCTCCCAGAAACTGCAGAATTGTTTCCAAATGAAACATCACTTGATACATTACTCGAGATTGAAACTGTACTAAATCTATGAGACATGACCGATCCTGTGTCACTGTGATAAATGGAAGACTTGACAGAAGGTGTATTGGAGTCTAGAGAATCTTCTCTTTTTCCTCTTCTCTCAAGTATTCGTGTAGATGCACTTGGTTGGTGTCCATCACTCTCAAATTTTGCACAGATTTCAGGGGGTTTCTCTTCACTACTTTTATGAGATGAAAAGTCAATTTTTACTCTGTCAGTTTCGGAATCAACAGTATTTTCAACACCTTCAATGCTTTTTTCCCCATTTTCAACATGTTCTTCAGGGTCCTTCGTATTTACTGTTCCAACTGTTTCTGATTCTTCTGATGCATCAGAAATAACAATTTCTGGCATAATGTCATCTTCAATACTTCTAAGTTTATTTTTCCCTATCTTTGTCAAATCTATACTTTTAACCACTGTTTCATTAGTTTCTTGGATTTTAGAAGGATCACAGTCAGAGTCTTTTTCCTTAGGATTCATCTTGTTTTCAAGTCTAGAGCCCTCGCAAATACTCTTAATACTGTCCAGAGACCCTTGCAAGGATGAGTAGTTTTTCATATTTGGAATTGGTTCACTGATGCATTTTTTAAGATCAGTTAAACTTGATTCTTTTTTTGTATCTTTATCATGGAAAAGATCCTCCATACTTTGCATGTGATTGACAGTTTTCATTACAACCTTTTCCACATCATTGCATTTTATCTGTGAATCATTGATGTTTTGCAAAATGTTTTTGTTCTCTCCTAGCAGATTCAATAGTCCTGCTTTTCTCATCTCAGACTTTCGAGCAATTTCATCAGAATTAAACAAGGAGGGGGTTGACGTACTTGACTCCTCTTCTGGTTCCTTCATTGATTCAGTTTCAAAATTAAAAACAGTTTCATCATCTTTTGGAGAACTTATTGCTTCCTCTTTAATATCTAAACTGTCTGATAAGTTATGTTTTGATGCTGATTTGTAACTTTCATTTATAACCGATACAATGCTTTTTTCTGAATCAGGGGAACTAGAGAGAGAAGTGTCAGAATCCAAGTCATCAGTCTCTGGATTGTAAATTTCAAAAGTTAATAGCTTTGGAGTTCCTTTTCTTACTGTTTGGACCCCCTGTGAGGAAGATTGACCTGGTTTTCTTGTAAATTCAATATTTTCCCCCAACAATAGGGAAGAGATTCCACTGCTTACTTTGTGTGTTTTAGCAAAAAGAGGATGATGTTTAACTATAGGGTAATCAAACTTGGATGCTCGGGCAGGATGAGGAGAGTTATTATCATGCTCCATTTCAACTCTTTCTGCCAAGCCATGAGGATGGCAATTAATTAAATGTTCTGTTGGTAAATCTTCAAGTTCAAAACTTTTGTGCTCTGGAATTCTTGGTAACATGGATCCGCCAAAAGTTCGTGTTTTACACACTTGCTTAATTAAAGAGCTATCACTGTCAGTTTCTTTTATTTCATATTTGTACTCCTCAGATTTGGATTGTTCTGTGCTATTTTCTGTTACCATAATTTTTGGAATTTTTTGCTTATTTAGACCTTTAGGAGATATCACCTTTGCACTTGGCGACATGGGGCTTCCTCTACCAGTTGGAGATTCTGAAGATTCAGATGAGTTTGAGGTAGAGCGCTGGGACTGCACTTTTGGTCTGGAACCATCTGATTGATTTTTAAGCTCTGGGTTGGGAACAAAAATAACTGAAATACAACTATCCTCTGAGTCTAAAGAAGTATCACTTTGAATGCTAGAATCTTTACTGCTATCAGATCCAGTTTCACTTCTTGAGAGTCTACGTTCTTTAGTTCCATTTTCATCAGGGCATTCCATACAACATCGCCTAACAGTTGGGGATAATAAACTAGGGTTTTCTTGGGGAGAATTAGTCTCAAGCATTGGACTTTTAGGAGACCAAGCTCCTTTCTTATGGAATAGTCCCCTTCTTGTTGCACTATCTAAACTTTGATCCCGCCGAAGTCCAAATACTACAATGGGATCAATATTTACACCTCTTTTTCTAGTGAAGGAGTTTTGAGGATCTGGTTTCTCTTTTTTATCTTCTGATTTCCATCTGTAAAGTATTTTGGCAAGACCATTAGTGAAAGACATATTTTGAGTATTATTTGGTTTTTCATTTTCAGTTGAGTTTGCAGCTGGTTTATCAGTATCCTTAGCTTTGGAAAATCTGTCCCTAAATAAGTCAAACTGTTTTGATTGTGCAGCAGCTTTCAACGTTTCTTTGATCCCAACTTTTATGTCTTCAGAAGGCCGTGATGGTAGTGATTGTTGTCGCTTAATTTTATCCCTGATTGCCTCTTTTTCTTTTTTTCTTTCTTCAAAAAAAAGTTCATCGTTCAATGATGTCTGTTTAGTAAGGTGTTTGATTGGCTTAGCAATTTCCACAAGAGTAATTTCCTTGATTTGAGATTCTACTTGTATTGGAGGAGTTGCTGGTGGTAGAGGGGACTTTTTCCCACTAAGTTCTTTACGAAGTTCCCGGTAGTGCATATCTGCAGATACATCTTTGGGTTCCATGAAGTTAAAGGCCTTTAAGTAAAGAGATTATATTTTGTTCAGACTTTCAAATTTTACAATTAGTAATATCAGATGAAAAGATCAATTGATGCCTAAATGTTGGTTTTTAATCTCTTTAAACCTGGATGGATTGTTTTTGTTTAACAAGGGTTGGACGTTTTTCATTTTTCTTGAGCAAAGGTGAAGATAACAACGGTCCTGCAGCATTAAAAACATATTTTTCAATTATATTCTAATTGCTGGACTGGAATATTAAAAGATCAACTCAAATTCTAGCCTTGTTGAAGTTTAACCTAGTGTTTCTCTTACAATTCTAGTTTTCAAAATCGTATTTTTTTCTGATAAATTTATTATGTTTTTAAGTTCCTGGACTGGGCACTGGTGTAGAATTTTCACTTACATCTGTTTCATTAACTTCCTAAAATTAGAAAAAGTCAAATTTTTAGAATATTTTTATATAAAGACATTTTTCCTTAAGAAAATTAAATAAAACTTTAATTTCTAGAGTTATTAATTGGAGAAATTACCTTAATTGCACCCATCAGTTTTCCTTCTATTGTCTGCATTGCTTTGGATTTTTCTTTTTCTGGAGTAGGGTTTCCAAAGGGGCTGGATTTGAAAATTGTTAAATTACGAGATTTTTGAATGGCTCCCAAAGAGGCGGTGAGATGGCGAGTCAATTCATCTTTCTTCTTTGCTTTATCTTTGATCTCAGTTTCTCCTAGCTGAGAATCTGAGTTCCAAATTCGGGGAACTTTAACAGATTCTGCTTTTCCTGTGAAATAAAGATATAATTAAATTTTGTTAGAGATTTGTTAGGCATTTTAACAAAATATAATATAATATAATATTGCTTAAGTGTGTGCAGCTAAAAAATATGTGAGAAAGAAATTGAGTCTTTGCCACGAACTCGAATTTTCTAATCCTGGTATCAATGCAATGCAAAAATTAGATTATTTAATCTAACAGCATAGTTTAAAAATATCTAAGGTCTACTACACTAAGTTGAGTTTGTGGCAAAGACTCAATTCCTTTTAACAAAATATACATAGATACTTAAATACGATTATTCAATTGTACAAAATACCTTTACGTTGCAAACTTGCTGCAATTCCTGAATCTGATTTTATTGAAAAAGCACTGATTGCAGATTTAGCTGAGGAGAGACTGGAGAGTGATCCAAAGGTTGGTCTTGAACCTGTATTGGAACGATCTAGGAATGTGGCCGCAAACCAGTTAGAACCATCAGTGGACTGAAGAGTGTATGTTTAAGAAATGTAAACCAAAATAAATGCAAAAATTGACTATATATGTTTTTAATTAAGTTTCTAAACATAGAATTCTGATTTATAAATAATCTGAAAATTGAAGAAAAAGTCATGAATTACAATTCTTTAACCAATTCCTGGACGCTTTGAGAGCTAGTGGCAGACTCAGGTTGCAGAGTTTTATCAGTGACTCCAGTTTCACCCAGATTACTGGTCTCAACACATGTTACAGTTGGATCGTCACAAGTTACTGATCTACCAAGATCACCCAGCTTCTTTCTTTCCACAGACAGTATTTGGCTGAAATTATAATTAGTCTTCTAGATAAGCCTGACACTAAGAAAAAAGTTCTGATGCACAGTGCAGATATGGAATATTTTATGGCAATGTCACTAACAGACCAGTAATTGACCTTTAAACGATTTAACAGCCACCAGTGTCTATAAACAAGCAAGATAATGCTATTGAATGGATTATAAGGATAATTTCTAGTGAACCTCCCAACAGTGTATTCCCTTAAAAGATTTGTATAATCAAAAATGAAATAAGAAATGTTTATAATTTTAAAGACTGATTATTTTCAATTGAGTTTTTCTACAAACGTGTTAGGGGTATTGTATCTTAGGAAAGCATATGGGAAATATCAAACTTAAAGTCACTTTCAAGCCTAAACTTTTTTATCAGATAAACATTTTAAGGGTACCGTTGTGAATCTGGCATTGCCATCTTTGTAGGGAAGGTCACTTGAAATTACACTTACAGTCCCTTCAAGAATGCAACAGCTCCCATAGCAGTTTAACAACTGTGCAACAGGTAAATTTTAATTAGTGTAATTTTCAGAAATGGAGAGAAAAATCTGCTAATGGATGATATTTTCTTGCAAAAAAAGCTTAAATAAATTATGAGGCACTTAAGAAATTGTAAACTAACTCTTGAAAAATTGTTATTTAAGTAACAAGCAATAATAAGAAACTGTAATTCACCTGATATCATTCAGACTTCTTGACTTATTTAAACAATCTTCAGGATTAGATGATATAAGAGTTTTCTCAGAGAGCAATTGTTGGGGAATCGAAAAATTCTCCTCCTTCAAAAAAGATTATTAATATTTCTGTACTAATTTTTTCAATTCAAAAATATCAATAAGTCTAAGTTGGTCCATTTATAAACTAAAAATTTGTTACACTACAAAATATATTAAAACTTTTCTAGGTTTTTAAAAATAATCAAAAGCAAAGTTTTGTTTTTTTTAAGCTGAAAAGAATACATAGGAACTGAGTTCTTGTCACAATCTATAATTTTATAATTCCTGTATCTTTGCAACCTTCTTTGGCATTTTAAACTTAGACTATTTGATCAAATATAATTCATAGTTTTAAATATCTAAGATCTACGACATAGATCTGTAAAGATATAGGGATTAGAAAATCAGAGCTTGTGACGACAAATCAATTCCTTTTCTCCATTTTCTCCCTACTCCTCTGGGTGTCTAATTTCTAATACTATGAATAATTTCTTCTCATCTAGGTCTCGAATCTCTTCTCCTCTAGGTGTCTATTCTTTACTCATCTATGTGTCTAATTTCTACTCCTCAGATCTATAATCCCTACTCCTTTAGATGTCTAATCCATACTCCTCTAGGTGTCTAATCACTGCTACTCTAGGTGTCTAATCCCTACTCCACTAATTGTCTAATCAATGATACTCTCGGTGTCTATTACCTACTCCTCTCGGTGTCCAATCTTTACTACTGTAAGTGTATAATCAGTAATCACTACTACTCTAGGTGTCATATTCTCTACTACTCTAATTGTCAAGTTCCTGCTCCTCTAGGTGTCTAATCACTATACTCCTCTAAGTGTCTAATCACTACTCCTCTAGGTATCTAATCTCTACTTTTCTTGGTGTATTAATCACTACTCCTCTTGGTATCTAATCACTACTCCTCTAGGTATCTAATCACTACTACTCTAAGTGACTAATAATTTTATTTTATTTCCTATGAAATGTAACAAAACTTAAAAAATTAAGTGTTTCAGGAAAAAACATTTAAAAATCTCAAAAAAAGAGGTTTGCGAATATTTCCCCCAATTCTAAAAAAATAAAAGGAAAAGGAAAGGAAAGGAAAAGGAGAGTTAAATATTTATTGTTTACATTGCATTTAATGAAACTGGGGGGTGAATTGTTAGTATCTTTCGACAATGAACTTACAACTTTTAGACATAAAAATAACAAACTTATTTGTAATGTTGAAAAAATAAAATAGGCTTTTTGGATTGTGAAAAAGATAAAGGTTCTACACAAAATGGGCATTTTTAAGTATCTTTTTAATTCGCGCCGATTTTCAACATCCTTCATGTTTGATTAGGTGTCTAATCTTTACTACTCTAAGTGTCTAATCACTGCTCCTCGAGGTTTCTAATCCCTACTCTTCTAAATATCTAATTAATGCTACTCTCGGTGTCTAATCCATTTTCCTCTAATAGTCTAATCCCTTCTACTCTAAGTGTATAATCTCTTTTACTCTAAGTGTATAATTGCTTCTCCTCTAGGTGTGTAAACCCTCTACTCTCCAGGTGTATAATTACTTCTCCTCCAGTTGTCTAATCCCTGCTCCTGTAAGTGTATAATTTCTTTTCCTCTAGGTGTGTAAACCCTCTACTCTCCAGGGGTATAATTACTTCTCTAATAGTCTAATCCCTGCTCCTGTAAGAGTATAATTTCTTTTCCTCTAGGTGTGTAAACCCTCTACTCTCCAGGTGTATAATTACTTCTCCTCCAGTTGTCTAATCCCTGCTCCTCTAGGTGTCTAACTCCAACTCCTCTAGGTGTCTAATTCCTACTTCTCTATGTGTATGATCTCAATTTGTACCTCTAAGTGTCTAATCTCAATTGGTAGATCATCATTATCGTATGAATCTCCACTATCCCCCTTTAGAAGCTGAGAATGTTCTAGATCCGTTAGCTCCTGTTATTTCAAAACTTCAATTATGACTCATCATAAAGTACATTCATTTTTTCAAGGGCTTTAAATAAATAAATTTTAGATCTGTATCTTAATATTTGAAAAAAAGTTATTGTCTATTTTTGATTTTATCATTCCCCACCCTACACTATGCATCCAAAAAAGTTTGAGCTTTCCAGTGCAAGCCAGTTTAAGCTATGGATAATAAAACCACAGGGGAGGGATTGTCTTAAAACATTTTTTTAGAAAGTGAATATTTGCAAATTATCTTTTTTCCATCTCATAATCTGAGTCTTTTTCCCTTATGTCCATTTGACAGCCCAAATTTTTATTTTGAATAATCTTTTTGTTTGTTTATCTTCTTGTGATTTTTACATTTTTTTATTTCTTTATCGATTTGATGGTTATTATATCGTTAGAACTGACGAGGGTCAACCCAGACCGAAATATATTTTCAATAAATGTGGAACTAACATCTACTTTTTTACTCTACAGAGGTTTGGTCCATCACCATCACTGAATTTTAAATCAGATATATGTTTAATGGATAAAGGTGGGAATCGAGCATGGTCCCCTATGGCCCTCTATGGCCTTCTGTAAATGGAGTCGAGGAAATTTTGTAATTACAACGGCAGTCTCTTTAATTAAACTGTTCCAGGTATTTTTATGAAACATTTCGACTATAGGAAAATACTTTACAATGAGATATCCTTCATCCCGATCTGTTAATTAATCTGGAGATTAAAAACAAAAGGAGAACAAGCGTTATTTAATCTTGAGATTAAGAAAAAGAGTGGATAAAGCATTAATCCCGATATCCACCATTCAGGTAACCTATTTTATTAACTTTTATTTACTGGTAAACTCAAGTGTAAAAAGTTAGAAAATGAAATTCATTCTTTTCAAGTGTTATTGAAAGGGACTGTAAGCGTAATTTAAAGTGATCCTTTATGCAAATATGGCAATGCTCTATTAACGAAGTACCCTTGAAAGAATCAGATATATATTTTTTTCTTTAAACTGCTTATTTTCATTTGCGGGTTCTCTTCAAAAGCGACTTGTCAATTTCTTTTTTATAAGAAACAATGTAGAATCTAACAGAAATAAACACTTTTCGAGTCAGAAAAACGAAGGGAACCTTCCACATTTTTGATCAGACTAATTTTACAAGGGTATCGTTGTAAATCGGGCTTTGTCATCTTTACATTAAGGATCGCTTCAAAATACGCTTACAGTCCCTTTAAGTAAAATGAAATTGATCCTAATATAATTTTGTCAAGTATAATTTATATCTTTTCATTTTTCTCTTTGTTGACATTTAACATTTCAAAGTTTTTTATTTGTTGTATCATTCTTTATTCTTGATATGTCAACCCATAAACCTTAATAACCTTGTACCGAAGGAGAATAAAGTTTAATAAAAGAAGATGTTACAACTGTGACTAAAGTTCAAATATAATTAAAAGTTTCAACAGAACCAACTAGGTTTTAGAATTAACAACAGTACCGTTTAGACCTTTTTTTGGTAATAGATGACGGAGCAATCTTTATTTTTAGAACAATTTGACGTCAATTGCACGGAGCTTACTGTGTTTGCTACACTTAGTTGTAAAAATTGTCAATGATTAGACAAACGACGTTTAAAGAATAAATTTACATATGGGGAAATAATAATCTTAAAAACCAAAATTATATTAAAATTTATCCAAAATATTAAAAAGTTTTGACAAGCCTGAGCGCAGTAGGTCTCAAGATTTTGAAAAATCCACGGGAGCTTCGCAGCACCGCCATTTTGTTTCTTGTTGGCTGCAAATTTCTAAAATTAAACCGATCTAAAAATATATCATTGAATATAATGTAAGCCTAGGGTATTTTGTTAACTTAAGAAGAAGTTTCTTGAAAAGAAACTAAACACAAGATTTAAACTCAAATTATTTAATTCTTATTTCTTGGCAAGCTAAAATTCTTTTTAATCGCATAAATCATTTAATTCTCATGATCCACTTGACCAATTTGCCTCACATTTTGACTAAGGCATTCCAAGCTTTAATGCAGGGAACCTCCAGGTAAAGCCGGATTCCCACGCTAGTACATGGTGTCCCAATAAACATGGGAATTCAGTGACGAATTTAAAATCTTCTTTTTAGATAATTCTTTGATTTAGTGTAGTGATACCTACTGAGAAAGCTGTAATCTGTAAGAGTTTCGTCTGCTATGTTCACATTTTGTTTGTTTATGTTTTGACTGCATACGGTTGTACTTAGTAAAACAAGAAAATTGCAGTATATAAACAGAGTAAACTTGTCCGTCTTCACTGTTCATGTTGCGGAGACATAGACACATCTTTACAGAATTTTACCCTTTTCATAAACTAAACTCTAGCAGACATAATAATATTATGGGTTTTGAAATTAGGTATTACAATGCTAATTCATAACAAAGACGATATCAAATTCGTCACTAAATTCACATGTTTTATGGGACACCCTGTATTCAAGGAGATTCGTATTAGAGTGCTTTACCATTAAAGATGTAAGGATTTGAGTTTCTCAGTTGATAAGCCTACTGTTTAATCATTAATCTAAAATCTTATTTAAGAATTTAGAATCTAGGAAAATATTCTAGAAATTTAACTTTAACTCAAGTTTAGATTAACTATGTTTTAAAGCTACATACAGTGTTAGAATTTCACCTGCATGTAAAATCTTTACAGAGCTAGTTTTCAAATTATCTAAAACTAAAAGTGCATAAAATATTTTTGAAAATCTATTGCATGAACAATGTACATTCATGTTGTAAAAAAAAATATAGTTTTCAGTCCAGGTTCTTTTCTTGCATTACAATTCTCAAATATATTTCTTTGACGACAACCATATTTTTCAAAAAGTCAGATTAATAATTAGAAACAAAGGAACTGAGTTTTCGCGACAATCTCAAATTTTCAAATCCCTATTTCTTTGAAACCTGATGGTGTAAACCTTTGATATTTCAAACTTAGGCTTTTTGGCCCAACATAATTTTTAGTTTGAAATATGAAAGATCTATCTACGACATCGAGTTGGCTAATATAGGGGTTATAATTTTGATTTTGTGGCAAAAACTCATTTCCTTTAAGATATCTGTTTGAATGGTGGCCGGTGGGTTTCAAAATTTTTGAAAAATCTAATTTTCTCTGGCTTTACAGTATATTTACAGTATACAATGTGAATGTGACAAATTTGAGTTCCTTTTGACGGTTTATGGTTACGAATAGACAACTGCATATGTTTCTTATCTGTCAATATCTGTCAATATCTGTTATACTTTAATCAAAAACTTGTTTAATCTAAAAATCTTTGCAGAATGCAATTTATAGTTTAGAATTTATAATAGCATATTAGAAATGAAATAGATACTTTATAAAGTATCTATTTCATTACTGTTTTTAAAACTAAATTCATTCTTTTCTTTTTTGATAATTCCAAAATAAGTTTATACAGTGGGGGTCAAATCTGAATTATAACTTTTTGTTCCTTGAATTAACATAAATCAGTTCCAAAAAAGAGAGAAAAGACGACAAATTATTTCCCAGTTTTCCGATTCTCACTGTATACTTGAAGAATGAATGAGAATACAGCGTTATTATAACAGAGAAACTTTGAACCTAAGTACACTTAAACCCTCTTATAAGGCTGTGAAGTGAGATAATAGAGATATTTGTATTTTCTCAACAGGACATTAGACTATTATGATATACTAGCTTGGGAACCAGGCGCTGCCCAGGTTCTACAAGATACTCATGGCGTTTACCCGCACTTGAACAATTTCGACTGGTTTAATGCTAGTGGAACTAACAAATGCTTGTCACACTTGAAATATAGTTTAACTATCTGCAGTTCATAAACTTCTCGTAAATCATTAATTTTAATTTCAATTTTTTTTTCAATTTTAAAAGTTAAAAAGCATCTTTTCTTACCTGTAGAGCTTTCCTAACAAAGCTGTAACAGGACTCATTAGGACTTGATACATCAGAGCTACTTCTACCACCTACATTATAAAATTAAAGGGATTGTACGTCTGAGCTACTTCTACCACTTACATTTTTATATTAAAGGGACTGTACGTCAGAGGTACTTCTACCACCTACATTGTTAAATTAAAGGGAACGTACGTCAGAGCTACTTCTACCACCTACATTTTTTAATTAAAGGGACTGTACGTCAGAGCAACTTCTACCACTTACATTATTAAATCAAATGGACTACATGTCCCGTGCTACTTCTACCATCTACTTAATAAAATAAAGGTACTTTTGACATAATTTCATCATAAACTCATATGTCAGATGTTACAACCGCCATCTTGAGAATTTTGCCAGATCAAGAATACATCAATTTTATTTCTCTTAAAAAAATGATTTCTTTTAATTGAGAATTCTATGCATACAATTAGTTGCGAATTTCCGCAACAGTTACACAATAGGCTATTGTTATGATTCAACCCCTTTCAAAATAGATCACGACGATTTCTTCCACATTATTGAAAAGATTTTGGTTAAAAATTTACCGTTGTGAATCGGGTATACTTCTCTTAAATTAGAGGGTCACTTGAAATAAAAAAAAATTGTCGTTTTAATGACCGGGTTACTTTCTAATCTGTTAAGTTAGCATCGGTAGAAAAAAAAAAATATATGCATCACCTGGTGGAGATATACTTCGTCCTTTATATCTTGTTCTCCCCCTTCTTCTCATACTTAACCTAGACATCAATATTTTTTCCAATCAACGGATTAACTTTTCCAATCAGCGGATTAACATTTACAGGATTAAAGGATTAACTTTTATGGTTAAAATAGATTAATCTAGAATAAAAGCAAGATTGATAAAAATAGTAATATTCAATTTCAAAGTTTGAAAACTAAGTTTTTTTGAGGGAATATCCAATTATACTTCTTTATAAACAACACTTATTTTAATGTCTCTTTATATTTAAAGAATGGAATGGTGTCTTTAGAAGCTTTTTATGAGCAAGAGTGAAATGAAAAAGTTTCCAATGGTTTAAACTTTTAAAATTTATGTTTTAACGTGATTTCGAATTTTTACCTATTACAATGCAATTATACTTATTCTCTAAAAAAACCGTATTATAATATGAGTGACATGTTCTATTCACAACGATACTCTTTAAGCTTGTAACTGCGAGTAACAATGTGTTCAAAATATTATTTTTTTCAATCCTATAGACGTTTCCTTTATTTTCCTTCTGGTCGACCATTTTGGAAATCACATAAAATTTCGTTGAATTTTGAAAAAAATATGAAAACTTGATGGTTATTCCTAAACATCCCAGATATTTAAAGACTTGGTTAGGCCGACACAGTGTCAGGTAACATATGGTATAATCAACACATTAACTTGATTAAAGACCGTTAATTGGATAAAAAGAAATGATTATTTTCTTTTCCCTATTTGTGGATAAAAAACATTTAGGCCCAGTTCAGTTTATTCTTGATTATTTGGTGGAAAAAAGTCAAGAAGTTTGAGCATTCGGTTGACGTCGAATTGAATATCAATTCGACAGCTAATTTTACTTTATCCCTTGCGTTGCGTCTAAAAGGAGAAAATGGTTAAAAACGATTCATACTCAAGAATGTAGCATCCATACAAATACAGGGTGTTGAATATTTATTATTCCACTTAGATCGTAAATAATTCAATAAAATTTATTTAAAACTACTTATTCAGTTAAATTACAACCTCCAATTGTCGAATTTAATTCAGAGCTCTTATTGGTTGTTACAGTTCACTAAACTAATCCCTTCTCTAATCATGAACCTGAACTGCTAGGGATGATTTAAGACCTTAAACCCGTTAGCTCTAAAGTTGTTGAAGCTATCCCAAGTCTTACAATCGGAAAGAAGAAAGTATAAGTAAACATCATTAGTGTTATATCCAACTTATAATCAACTTATAGTAGGGGAGTAAAAACATCTATTTTTGATTGACATAATAAATTTTGTAAGATAAAGCTATTCTCAGATTTACCTGTGTGTCAATAAATACGCTAACGTATTGTCATCCAGGGGGCTATGAACCCCCTGAAAAAAATGTAAGCCCTCCAGACAAATTACTGTGTACGCCCTGCCATACCTTGATATAGAGGAGATATGCTCACTATCAGAACCGGTTTGAGTGTAAGCATGGTAGTGAGTGACATCATCCTCACTTGTGCACGTGGTAGTAGTTGTATCTCCTACAGCTGATCCCCCAGGCTTCTCTTCACATGACGTATTGTTGGGTCTATGCCAAGGAATCAAAACATCCTAAGATAATTAACATTATTTTAATTTTCACTGTGCCATGTAATCAAAGTTTAATTTTGTATATTTATATTCTTACATACGTATTTTATACATTCAGGGTGAGTCAAAAAACGTGTAAAATTGCACATTCTTTTGTGCAACTCTCATGAACGTTGTTTTTTCAATATTTTTAGATTTTTTTTGTTACTCAGTCCTATGGCCAAAAAAATCCGCGAACCTTTTTTTCTCAAAATGAAATGTTTAGAAAAGTAGAAATGTGTATATATATTATTTTTATTTTGTAAAGATTGAATTACAGAAAATTTGCAAATTTGTAATAAGAAAATTCGTAATTTTCAGTTCTAATCTTATTTTTAAGGAAAAATTGTTTTTCAGTGGCTCTTCAGGTTTCAACTGAACAGCGTATATTAATAACAGAATATAATTGAAAGAAAGAAGTAGAGGATTTGAATGTGTTATCACGTATTTTTGTGTTGGTAATATTGTTATACTAAACATGTTTATATTTATATTTCTTTTTGACAGAAAGCCTCTTTTACATCAAGATTCATTGCTAAATACTTGTGTCATTGAAAATATAACATGTTTGTTGCACCAATTTTTTTTAATATTTAACCATCTTTTTTTCAAATATCTGTTTAGGTCTTAAAGACTATAAAGGAATAGGAGCAATGATAGTTATTTCTTAAGATAACAAACATATCCTGAATTTAAAAAAAAGAAAATGTCCTCATCTATAAATATATTTTGCTTGTCTGGGTTTGATTTTCGCAAAATTTTGAAAATCCACGAAAACAAAATTGTAAAAATCGCAAAATTTGTTATTAATGTTTCATCGAAGAGAAAATACTAAATGATTAAGCAACAATTAATAACTATTTATAACACTGTTATTTTGGTTCGCAGTGATATAAAAGTTTTGGACAGAAATTTTCTCTTTATCGAGAGGGTTCAAGTCTTTTTAGATTTAAATATAATCTTAAAAAGCGAGAACCTTCGAGATATAAAGGAAATTTAAGTTCAAAAACTGTATAGCACGTCGTGCCAAAATAATAGTGTTGTAGGTAATTTTATGAAACGTTTGTATACTTGTCTTATTTCAATGGTCATTTCTATAGATCAAATAAGCTTTGAAACAAAGCAGAAGTCAAAAAATATAACGTTGATTTCAATTTGATTTTCATTTCAATTGAAAAAAAATATTTTGAAAATATCCTAAATTTTTGGAGAAAATCCGGGAACCAATCAAAACTTTATAACACACGTGCTATGTACAGCTAATTTAACTTTATAGCACGTTCATTATGAAATTCACGATGAAGTGAGTAAGAATGATAAAATACACAATAGTTTAAATAGATTGCCTAGTAATTAATAAAATGATAAAATAGTTAACCTGGGATTCAAATTTTCGATGTCTCTGCTCCATGGACCAAACACTAATTATTATTCGACCTCCTACTCTGAAAATAAAATAGAATTTATGATAAAATAACATAATATATGATCAAGAATTATACTGCAGCAAAGTTTGACATGAGAAAGGGTAGAAAAATCAATAAATACATGAACATACATATTGAATTTTTATTCAGTACACAATAGCATTGGTCAACAAAATTCAGATGTCTTCTGCCTGGTATGGAGCAAGGTTATAATGCAAGGAAAGATATTTCAGAGGTGTACGGATTTTTTGTACCGCAGTGTACTGTCTTTGGGCGGAAAAGTAAACACAAGACGGATGTCACAGCCTGACATGGAATCCATTTTCACAAAAATAATCTGTGAAATATTCTGGTCATATGAAACTATTATGTGAATTATCAAAATTATCAAAATTAATGCTTATACCTTATACTCCCTCACCTCCTTCTTACCATTTTCCTGATTTATCATCATTCTTATGTTTAAAATGTACAATGTACATTGTTTTTATCTGCAATTCTCATTCGTTTATAGTGGGCCAACCAATTAAAACAACCTACTCTGGTTAGGTGGGTCCAAACTACATAGTAAAAATAAGTAAATTTTAACCTCCTGGAACACCTAAAATCCAAAATCAGTTATATTGGAAACTTGTATTAATGACACTCTTAGAAAGAACATTCATCCCGAAATCCGATCAACTACAACTTCCCTTGAATTAAAAGGATAATCCGCTGCCGTGGGAAAGTGCAGACGTTAATTTTCTTAACTTATGTTGGGATACAATGTTCATAAATCATTTAATCTCAGAAAAATTAGGACCAACATGAAAATTTAAATGAATAGAGATTACATGTTAACATTTTTACTTTGTTAAGAACGGGTTCAAACATGCATGTATAAATTAGTTTTTAGATTAGCAGAATTCAATTAATACCAAAAATAAAGCTTTTTGGAAAGGAATGAAATTTTCTCCATGGATAAGTTAAATACTTTTTTAGGGAAACATTTTGCCAAGACGAATGGTTAAAAATGTTTGAAATCTTATTTTTTGTTTAATTAATTTTTTATACAATTTTTTTTAGTCACAAAATTTTTTAATCCAATAAGAAAGAAGTAGAAGTAGATTATAGAAAGTGCAGATGGACAGCAAACTGGATGAAATTAAAGAACCTTTGATCTTTTTCTTTCTTTAATTTGCTAAAGTTTCAATTACAGAAGACAAACTAATATCTTTCTCCATAAGACCTCCACCCCTTTCATATCTGAACACACTGGACAGAATTTATAAAGATTTTATTCTATAATTTTATAATTTTCGAAATTTTCTTTCCTTCTGAAGAGCCACAATAATGTTTTGCTAATTGCTAATTTTATAACTTTTATAGATTTTTTTTCGGAATTTTCTTTCCTTCTCAAGAGCAATCATAACATTTAGCTAATTGCTAATTTTATAACTTTTATAAATTGTTTTTCGGAATTTCTTTTCCTTCTTAAGAGCCATCATAACATTTTGCTAATTGCTTGATTAGATGTAAGAACTCCTGCAAAAATTAGGACATATCAAAAAACTCAATTTTCAGAATTGGAATTTTAAAAAGAACCTGAAAAGATATTATGATTTTTACTGAATGAATTTCCAATCTATATAACAAAGCTCTTTGCTCATACATACATATTTATATGTTGGCTATAAGTAACTGGCCAAACAGCTGAACCAAAGTGGCGGACATTTTTTATGGGTATCTCGAGGATAACATAGGCTAACAAATTGTATATTTCAATGGCAATGGCGGGCACTTCAGCTAGTAAAACTGTGAGGGCTTACTTAGGCCTGGGTTTTCAAGTAAACTTCATAAAAGTATCATGCCAATCTTTAAAAGGACTGTAAGCGTAATTTCAAGTGACCCTATATGGAAAGATGGCAATGCCCAATTCACAATGGTACCCTAACAAGCTTTGTCTGATCAAGTATGAATTAGATATCAAGGTCAAATTTAAATACTAATTATTCTTAATTGTGTTTTCTCCGACAGGAAAATATATTGGAACCATCAGAATTAAACAATTTAAACCTAGAAAAACGACAATATCTTCCACATTACATAACAGAAAAAGGTTTCTAGAGTACCACTATACCATCGTCAGTTGTAATTCGGGCATTGACATCTTTAAATGGAGGGTTGCCTTAAGCAGATATAGAACAGGTTGTATTGTATACGTACACCCTGTAGCAGACAAAATGGAGCAGTTCACAAAATTTATCCCTCGTTTACCTGAGTATTCTGGCTAGTTCTCGTATTGCCCGAACCCGTCGTTCTGTAGTTGCTATATGATGAATAACTGCTATGGAGAGGACAGCATCAAAACAATCGTCTTTGTAAGGCAGGGACAGATTGTCACATGTAATTACCTGAATTAATCATAATAAAAGTGGACATATTAACCGTATTAACGCTGCAGGGGTCTGAATCTAGTATAAGTGCATATTTTAATATGATATATCTTTTTTATATAAATTTCAACGTAATCTAAAGTTAATTTAAATATTTATTATTCTTCAGGGAAATTTGAAGTTCTGGCATTATAAATCAAAAATCTAGTGCAGAATTAAAAACTCTTTCAAATAAAGTTAAATAATTAGATTTGTTGGGTTTTCACAACGAAGTTTATTTTATACAGAAAGAAGGGGGGGGGGGAGTTTTTATATTCCTAAAATCATTGATAAAGTATTTTGAGATTTAAAAAAGTTAAAAATTTTATATTTTAAGTAACCAAACATTTAATTTAATTAAAAAATTTTGGACTGGTGGACTGGTACCCGTTTCCTTTATTTAAGCAACAATGTAGATAATATCGCCGTTTTTTCTTAATAAAAAGGTGTTCAATTCTGACGATTTTTCCCTGTGACCCTGCTCAATAAATCAAGCCAAACCACAATTGAAAAATATTAACTGAAATAAAAATAATCAGATTTATTATCTCTGTCGTTTTAATTTCAATTGACCCTCCGCCCATTTAAAAAGAGCAGCATTCCTAATTCTCAACGGTACCCTAGACATCTTAAAATGATAATAACGTTTTTGTTTTAGGAGTGTTAATTATTAAAACATTATCTTTTCTCTATTGTTTCTAAAGCAAGAAATGTACAAGTCACTTTTGTAGACAAACCACAAATAAGATTTTCAAAAAAGAAAAACGTGGATACCTAATGCTTTAATGGGTACCGTTTTTAATCTGACATGTCACTCTATCAATGGAAGGTCACTTGACATTGTGTTCACATTCTTCTTTTTAATTTTACCTCGTGTTCTTTTTCTCTGGCCATCTCTGTTAAAGCTTTACACCTGTCTGATCCTGTGTTAAATACTGTAGGATTAATACTCAGGTACTTCCCACTACCGCAACCTAGATAATTTATTTTCATAACAATCATAGAATCCCCATATCTTTACAATTTCATGCAATTTGATGATGCAAAATTTAACTTTTTACCAGCAAAAAGTGTAGGACGTTGGGTTTCCAACGCAAGAGGAGTTTATTGCGCGCAATTATGAGCCAAAATTTAATTCCGCGTAATTTCACGCAATTCTGCGCAACACATATTCCGATTAGAAACGGTACAAAGAGATCAGGTTGCAAATTCGCAAGCATCAGACAAATAGATTTTGTGGCAAGTGTTACTTTTATAACTGAAAGGGCTGTTATGTTAAGCTTAACCCTGAAAAGGTTGGGGGGAGGGGGGGGGGTTTCTGAAAATAAATGAAGGCTGGGACTCCCCTGCCAGGGTTTAAGCATGTTGGAAGTTTGAATTATTTTATTTTACTAGTATTGAAAAATCAAATAAACAAGAAAAACTTGACAGTTTGGAACAATTTTAAACAATAATATTTTGTATTTTAAATAAATTCTAGAAAAGAAAAAGTCTTCAAATAATTTGATGGTATTTGTTTTGCTTTATCCAGAAACAAATGAATGATGACGTCAAAACTAACTTGTAGTTATAGCACCCATCCCCCCCCCACCACCCCAATCCATTACCGTACCCCTCCCTACATTTTTAACAATCAGGCTTTTTGAGCTTTCAGGAGACTCTAGTAAACTCTAAACAGTTTAAATATTTAAAAATTGTTTTCTCTAAAAGTGTGCTTTCATTTTAAATCTAGCAGTAGATTAAATAGAAATAAGTCTCAACAATCATTTAAATTGTACTGCAACAAACAATTGTTGTTGCTCTTTCATGTTTATATATTTTCTGTCAGAATCAACATTATTCATGTTTATATAGTTTATGTCAAATCAACATTATTCATGTTTATATATTTTCTGTCAAGTATGTTCTCTGTGAAAATACAATTAGTCCCACAGTGTGGTAATTAATATATTTTGTAGAGCCGGGGTGTATCAATTTATATATTTAATAACTAAAGAACTGAGGTAAATGCATAGTTTTATATTTTATTTGTGTGTGGAACTAAGGTAAATGCATAAATTTTTAGTCTATGTGTGTGTAGAACTAAAGTGGATGTATTAGTTTTTAGATTCAATATTTGTAGATTTGAGGTAGGCGTATAAATTTGTGTATGCTTGTGTTTTTTTCAGAAATCTTTTGAATTTTCGAAACGATTGGTTAAAAATCAAAACGAAAAACTCATTTTGAAAAAAAGTTTTAAACCCAAAAACTTTATTCTTCATTATCCGTTTCAAAACAAATAACGTTTTTTTCCTTTTTTCGTTTTAAAATAAAAAAATCCTGTTTGAAAGTCATTTTTAAGTTTTTCGTTATGAAAATACTTGACAATCGTTCTGAAAATACTAGACAATCGTTATGAAAATACTAGACAACGTTCTGAAAATACGAGACAATCGTTCTGAAAATACGAGACAATCGTTCTGAAAATACTAGACAATCGTTCTGAAAATCAATTGCTTCGTTTTAAAAGTAAAATAATATCCATAATGAACAATCAAGACGGAAAACGATCGTTTTGAAAAAAATCCAAAATAATGCCTATCTCTACCTACAGGGTAATGAAATATCTATTCTCAAGTAAAGAATGGTCTTGGTATTGTAATGATATTCCAATTCTCTGCAGGAATATAAAGTGGTCACTCTTACGGCGTTTTATCAATACATTTTTCTTTGCTTAAAGGGACTGTATGCACACAAGCGAATGTGAATCAGAAACATCCATTTCATGCAATTAAATAATTCTCGTCCAAACATAAGAAATTGATAGCGAAGATTTTAATTTCAAAACAAGATTAAAAAAACCATTTCAAATAGAAAAGATCAATTAAAATTAAACTTTTTTAAGAATTTGTAAAATATTTTAAAACATATAATTTTTTTCTAAAAATTTATTACTTTTTTTAAAAGAACATTAATAAACACGAATTTGAGCTTCTTGAAATTAGTTGGAAACCCTTTCCAAAAAGAAAATAGATATTAGTACTAACCAACATCACAGACAAAGGATCCAGGTTCTAGATCCATAATAAACTGTTTAACACGGGGCCAGGGTCTATATCTAAATACAAATATAAGTTAACGTCATGAGAAGTTGGTTAATGGTTGGAAGTTGGTTGGTCGTTCCAACAGTAGTCAACAGCTAGATCTAAATCTAGTCATTTAGTTACACTGGAGTCTCCGTTTGCTGGGTACCTAGGAGAGGGGTACAAGAATAGTTGAAGAGGCACCAGGCAAAGGTTTATAAATTTAGATACAGATTCAAGAAAACAATTAAGACAATTTAGATTCAGATCTTGAAACAAGTTAAACTTCAAACTCTGTTTGCTGTGCAGTTACTAGATACGCATATGAGAATAGTAAAACACTGGGCCAGGGTCAGATATCTAGATAAAAAGATTAAGTAAAAAGGAGCCAGGCCAGGCCTAGATACAAACCTCAACTTGAATTAGGGTTTCCGACGAAATAAATAAATCATGCAAAAAAAAATTCCGCATTTTTTCTGCTTCCTCATGAAAAAAAGTTTTGCGGAAATTCCGCAAATGTTTAAAGCGGGGAATTCACAATCAAATTTGCGCAAAGTTTGAGCAAAAATTTGCCACCAGTGGAAATCCTAAGTTCAATACAAGTAAAACTCAAAACTTAGTTTGCTGGATACCCATGGAGAGTTAATTATTATTAAACACTGGCCAGGTTTTATGCTAATATAAATATATCTACGAAATATTTTATCTATTTAAATTCTTAACTTTACTGTTTGGCTTGTTATCAAACTTTTATAGAAAAGTTTGATATAGCGTTACTTCGAACTTTTGATTTAAACTTTGAATTTAGTTTCTACAGAAAAATGATAATAAGCTCTTAAAGCATCTAAACATAGTTTTAAACAAAGCTTTATACTCCAGGGATATCTATCTATAGGGTGTCCCGATAAACATGGGAATTAAGCGACGTCTTTTATATCGCCATCGATCTACGTAGCATTTTTTCATGGCCACAATAATTGCATGTATTCCAGTTACTTTAAACACATCTAATATCGAAAACACCCTGGTCTTGAGATTTTCAAAATGAGGTCTACCATTTTGTATCTTCAAAAGTAACGGAGATATTGCAAAGTACAAACGTTAATTTATTTAATAAATCAAAACTGTCTTAATATCTATTATCTTCGTCAATTTTTAAGACACGAGAAAGGTAGACCACTAGTTATGAAAAGCAATTGTAAGATGTATACATTTGTATACTTTCTTTTCCATGTACATTTGTATACTTTCTTTTCCATGTACATTTGTATACTTTCTTTTCCATGTACATTTGCATACTTTCTTTTCCATGTACATTTGTATACTTTCTTTTCCATGCATTACATTAAAAAACAGAAATTAAATACGACTTTAAATTCGTCTCTTAATTTCCATGATTATTGGGACACCTTGTATCTATCTTTATAACTATCTATCTATCCAAGGTTATAAAGCAAGGAAAGTTAATTGCAGTTGCTTATACTCTGCGTACATATTGAAACTAGTTCTTTCTGGACGGAATTTGTGAACAATAATGAAAGCATTAAATTTTGATAGTTTTGATAATTCACATAATAGTTTCTTATGATTAGAACATTTCATTGATTTTCTATGTGAAAGATGGAGGATCCCATGTCAGGCTTCGACACTGCAGCTGCAGTACAAAAGATGCGTACACCTCTGAAATAACTTTCCTTGCATTATAAACTTTTATCTATATAACTATCGACCTTGAATCTGTAAAGTTGGTAGATATCTGTTCATACACATCATGAACATAAGCCTTCTCTAAAGCCAGGGATCTAAAGAGGATGGAATTAAGGGACTGGTCAGTGGTCGACATTTTCAAAATATTCATAATACTTTAAACTCTTGAATTCGAAACATATAGCTTCAAGCCAAAAAAAAATAGAAGACACTCAGAATATATATAATTGGCAGTTAAATTTAAACACAAAAACACGAAAAATATATTGCTACCAGAAAACTGTGGAATAAGAAGACGACATTTAAGCAATACTTCAGTATATTTGATGTTGTTGAAGAGCAAATAGTTTTACTTGCAACATAAATCCCTTATCAAGTATAATGGATTTGTTAAAACCGCGCAATTACTGTGTTGTTAATTAGATTATTTAAAGTCATAACTTGATTTTAAAAGTCGTTGTCAATGTGAGTGCTAGGGCAAAAAAAATAGATAGGGCGCCAATTTTACATTTTTTTTAAATTCCCATTTTTAAAAACTACTTGAAAATACATAGGAAAACACGAGTCACATCATCACGTTCTTATTTGTCAAAAACTTACATTTTTATTAAAGAAATTTCCTACTTTTTTGCCATTTTTAGAAGTATTCAGGTTAGCGATCATATTTATTTTTTCTTGAAAAATTTAGCTATGCACATACCTTTACTCTCAGGCTTTAGCACTAAGCAAAGATCATAGAAACTTAATTAAAACTTGGATAATTTGCAATCAAGTAGTTTACAGTAGTTTACAAAAATATGTTCGAACAGGGGAATAGATTCAGTAGTGTATAAATATATACTAATCCCCCATTTTTTAAATCATTTCCCCCCCCCCCAAAGGTATGTTTGCGCGAGGAGGTCAAAAATATTTAAGGTTTTTTTTGGTAAATTGGGAAAAATAAATGCTAAAAAAATATGTTGGTTTCAAAAGTATGGAAAGGATGATTTTTATCATATAAAACCCATTCCTTCCCCAGGGCGTGGGGGTATCCCCAAACACCCCCTTGTATTTAACTATTTACCTTGCTTCCCTCTCCTTCTTCATCTCCTCCACTCTCATAAACTCCGCCAACCTGGAGCAATCATATCGTCAATATCTTGACACTCAACCAAGGTTGTATAATAAGGTTGCTTCCTCTCGATGCGCTCCAATGTTGTCTACTTAGCATGGATAGATAAAATCCGTGAAAGACGTCACAGATCACCTCTATAATCAACCTTATTATACAACCTTGCACTCAACTGATGTACATACAATCTGAGCTATACCGACATTTTCGGTCCTAGTTTGTACAGCCCCGCCAGGTTCACCAACTACACTGACATCAGTGGTCAATGAAGTTGACCCAGCTGGTCCAACTAGCTGAACCCAGTCTGACTATAGTTGCATCTGGTTAAATTTACAATCATTAAAGCGGCAATTTAAAAATCCTCTTTGGGGCCACATTCAGGAGAAACTATTCTCAGTCAAAAATATAGCATGATGTTCACCATTCACCCTGTGTTTGACCTGACAATTTCCTTAGATTTCGTTGTGTTTTTCATCAGAATTTGTTTTATAATAGTATGCACTGATTTAGGGGTCGCACACTTGGAATTTGGATGCATGTGAAGAATATATACATATTCAGGACGCAAATTGAAGACGTATTTTGGAGACAAATATGGAGGACGCATATAGGGAACGTCTAATGATTACACGTAATGAGAACACTTTTATCGACATACATACTTTCATTACTTTCATCGTAGGTTTATTGCCCTTTTGGGAGTCAATGGAGTTTTATCAAAGACTCCCTTTCATTGGAGGCCCTTAGCGGTAATCATTTTGGAGACCCAAAGCTTTTATTAAAGACCCATTAATGTATTAATATTGATACCAATATATTTTCATTGGAACCCCAAACATTCATTGAAGAACCATCTTGGCTTCATCTCATCTCAACAATTACTGATTAAATGGGCTCCATAGATTAACTTGCCTGTCATGTTCAGAAATCCTACTCTCTCCTCGCTGTTCCCGGGCCCGTATTTCCTCACTGCTGGTCACCTGGCTTGACCGCCTCCACTAAAACAGAAAAACAGATATAAACTTGACCGATTTTATTGTTGAAAATTTCAAATTACAAAAGGAAATGGGGTGACAGTAAAATACGCCTTTGAGTTTACCTATCTAACCCCTGTATGTTTTTTTTGTGGCTCTAGACATGCACATTTCAACACTACAAGTTTGATTTTTGCAAACGAGCTGAAAACCTCCAAATCACTGTGATGGACTTATTTTTAATTTGAAGGAAAATTTTAATATTCTTTTTGATTTACGGTGAAAAGATACTTGTATTCTGAGAACAAATTGTTTCCAATCTCTCAAAAGTCAAAACTGTACATTTGCGAAATGAAAACAATTTTTTAAAGGGGTGGGGTTTTTTTTCATACAATTAAGATCTGGATCCGTTTATCTGCATACTTTAATTGCGTTTCCGCGCGGGAGCCTAAATATTGTCGATCCGGGTCCGGGGAGCCAAAGTATTCCAAATTAGGATCCATGAAGCCAAACTATTTAGGATCAGGATCCAGGGATCCAAACTTTTCAGGATCCGGATCTAAGGATCCAAACTATTAAGGATCCGGATTCTAGGGTTCCAAACTATTTAGGATTCGGATCTGAGGATCCAAATTATTAAGGATCAGGATCCAGGGATCCAAACTATTCAGGATCCGGATCTAGGGATCAAATTATTTAGGACCCGGATCTAGGGATCCAAAATATTAAGGATCAGGATCCAGGGATCCAATCAATTCAGGTTCCGGATCTAGGGATCCAAACTATTCAGGATCCGGATCAAAAGAGAAAAACTTTTTCGGATCCGGTTCCAGGGAGCCAAAATATTGCTGATTCACCCTCCACTAAGCTTTCGGTGCATTCTGCAGGAATTTGCAGTTTCTAACCAAAGATTTTTTAGTAGGGAGTGGATCCGGATCCTGAGAAGAGTTTAACGTAGGATTTACTATACCTGGAGTCTTTCTGATCCAAGACTGGAGGAGGACTCCATTAAGTCCTTCAACATCCTGCAGTAAATTTAAGGAGTTATTATTTACGTTTTGACTCCAAATTCCAACTCCGGGAATTCATTCCGCTGTAAGTGACAATGTTTTTGACAATTTCTCATTAATGTATAGAACAAATTTGATCAATTTCAATTCATTCAATTTATATGATTAAACAATTGCCTCTTTTCCTTTAATAGACTTATTATTGAGGACATTGTTAAACATACATGGATACCCACAAAGGATGAGATTGCAAAGACGATCGGAAAATCTTAGAATATGACAATACCCAGGCTAAATGCCTTAGATAATAATAACTTATGGCTTATTTATGGATTTGGTAAAGAAACAAGCAAGTTTAAATTTTCAAGAAATAATAAGGAAACAGACTGCAGTCTCATCCTTTGTGGGTAACCCTGTATATTGGAGTACATATAAGATAAGATAAAATATTGTTTATTGCTAAAAATACACATACAAGTTATGATGTTTATTTACGTATTTATTATACTAGAAATTCAAGGCGCTTCGCGCCCTTCTTTCTAGGCTTTTAGGGCGCTTCGCGCCCATATTCTATTTAAATTGTGAACATATTCTTTTTGTTTACATTTCAATTGGGCCCGATCGGTTCAGCCGTTTTGACGTTTATTGGATACAAACAGACAAACAAACAAACAGACAGACAAGCCAAATTTATATATAGAAGTACAGATTAAAATTTTATACAGTATACATACAAGCTAGGGATGTGACTTCAGAGACGATTTTACGGAATTTATATGGTCTGAGCTGAAAACTTTAGAATGGTGGATATCAAGATTAATGCTTAAACTCCTGGTTTCATATAAACCCAAGATTATTTTAATACGCATTCGATATCCAAGAAAGAAGTATAAAATTCAACCAATCAGGGTATCATGTTAAGATGTACTCTTTAACTTTTGAAAACCCGGTTTTTTTTCTGGTGTTAATAGTGTCATTTCAATTGATCTTAACATCGATTAAATAAATGTTTGTTAAGACTAACGTTTAAAATGACAACAGTCTTAAAATGTGATAAAATATGTCTTTTAATAAGTTCATATTAACGTGATTAAATTTATATTTGCTTAAATGCTTTAAAGGACGGCTTGTAAACAACTGACTTAAATTCAATCGTAAATTAGTTCAATCGATCTAGCATTGTATCTATAATTGTAATCAAACGTAACTTTTATACAGTAGATTAATATCCAAAAAGAGAGGATTAAGAAAAAAAATCAAAAGTGTGTCTATTGGATACTCAGATTAAGTCATCAGGATTAAGGATATCTCATTCTAAAGTTGTCAGCCCTGAGCTGAAAACTTTAGAATGAAATATCCAGATATCCCGTCGAATAATTAATCTGGAGTTTAAATTCATGTGGAGAACAAGCAATATTTAATCTGGATATCAAGACTTTAGGAGCTTCTCTGGATATTTCATTCTAAAGTTTTCAGCTCAGCTCCCTTATATTTAGGACTCCCTGCCACTGTAAACTTGTTTCTTACTTCGCCAAATCATTATATAAGCCATTTTATAACTAAAGGAATTATGTCTTTGTCACGAACTTAAATTTTCTAATCTCTATAACTCTGCACTGTGATGGTGTAAATCTTTTATATTTCAAACATAGATTATTTGATCTGACAGAATTCATTGTTTGAAATATCTACGGTCTGCAATATTTGGTTGAAAAGATAAAGGGATTTGAAAATCATATTTCGTGGCTGAATACTTAATTTAACCTTAGGATCGTCATATTTTAAGAGTTTTCGGTCGTCTTTACAGTCTCATCCTCTGAGGTTAACCCTGTATATAAGGTTATCCATAAGGTTGAGACTTCAGAGTCGACTGTTTGAAATTTATTTATCTCTACTACTACGTTTGAGGTTTCCTTGTATTTTTATATATTTTTAAATCTTATTTAAATCATTTTATAACCCCTAGAAGCCTTTTTTAACTTTAAAAACCAAATTTAACCGTTAAATCGTCATATTTTAGGATGTTTTAGGTCGCCAAAAAGGTCTCATCCGTTGTGGGGAACCCTAATAGATTATAATTCTATACGATGTCAAATGTTACGATTTACATTAGTATGAAGTGTAAAATAGATTTAATCTAATTTTTAATTTTTGTTATCATTTTGGTAAACGATATGAATAATACGTAAATAATACATTTAGATATATCGTTATAATACAATAAACTAGTAAACTTAAAGGGAGTGTTCGCGAAAAATTAAAGGGGGTATAGGCTTACGTCGAAAAATTATCGATGGTGATCGCTGCTAATCTTACTTCTATCTGTTGCGTCATCAAGGAAAAAATTGTTAAAAACAACTCATACCGAAGAACGTAGCGTCCATACAAATTCTGAAAGTTGCAATATTCGACTTGGATCGAAAAAATTAATATAATTCCAAGCAAATCATTCAGATATTACAATCTATAATCATCAATAATTTTTCGACGCATTCGTATAAAGTTGTTATTTCATAATATTTTTTACTTGTTTCATATACGATGTACTTTAAATAACGATTTTTTTGTCTTTGGAGTCTATTCCACTTGGAAGCATGGAGAGCAGAGATACCTAGCGGCCGATTATAAAAGTCCCTTAAAGTATATGGTATATGAAACAAGTTAAAAATATTATGTAATATCAACTATATATACAAATGCGTTGAACAATTATCGATGATTAATGATTACAGGTTGTATGAGGGAAACATGTTAAACTCAACATAAAGGAAATTAACTGATTCAAAATAATTTCATTCTGGAGCCTATCATAGATTTTTTTGAAAATGTTAGGTGGGGGAGGGGATATAGTTTTTGAGAGATTATTATACAATACAGTATTTCATTTTATAAAGTTTTTCATTAAGAAACCATAGTTTTACTACCACAGCTTCTCTTAATTGATTTCTATAACTTTGTGTAAACAATTTTTAGTCTTTATCTTAAAAAGGGCCTGTAGATTTAATTTCATGTAACCTTTTAATCTAATAGTTGTATGCACGATTCACAACGGTACTCTTTACGCCTGTTTCTGAACAAACTTGATAGAATTAGTCTAGAAATTTATATGATTCGTTGCCTCTAAACTTGAAACTATATTTTCTATATTTTTTACTGCACAATGTAAGTTGTAACAATAAAACTATATTATTTGATTACCAAGTAAACCCACAGCCCACAAGCATTAAGTATTTACACAATAATAAATGTATGAAATTAGTAATTACTACACAATTAGGGATAGGTTTGAGACTCGGGTTTAACGGGGCTGTGAGCGTAATTTTAAAAGGCCCTCCATGAAAAGAGGGGAATGTCAATGATAGTTCCCTTTAAACTTTTGATTGTTCATCGAGTAAAGAGATCTGTTTGTTTAAATATCTTGAAACTCATCTGAATCATTTTGAAAAAGACGATAGTTTTTTACTGAAAGAACGATTTTATTGAAAAAATAATTTTACTGAACGAACAATTTTATTGAACAAACGATTCTACTAAACAATTGTTAAGTGAAAAAAAACGAACGAAATAGATGGAAAATGAACGATAATTTTGAGAACAAACGAAATATTATTTTTGAACGAATGAAAAAAAACTAACAAAATGGGTCGTTCACAAACGAAATGAAAAAAGCCGAAGGCGTCCATCACTACCTACTTATGCCCATGTCTAAGCAAACCTTTACTCTCTGCACTAATGAATACACAAGGATATTCTTCAACTATCTCTAGAGTACTTATAGATAAAGATATATTAATAGATATGAAAATCGTTATAAAGATATGTAATCAAAACTAATTCTTGGAATCTCTAAATATATATGATCAAAAAAAATATTTTCAAATTTTTCAGTTTTATATTTTTATATAAATATATATATATATGTATATACTATTTTTATGTAAAAAGAGTCGCAATTTTTCGTGGTTTGAAAAGAATCTGTTCATTTTATTTATTCTTAATATTATAATAGCAGTATGCAGTACACGGAGATAGTGTACGATTATTAAAAGACCGGAATGCATTTTTACTTATCCGAAATCACTTTCAATTTTTTTCTGATTGTTCATTAATAATTTAGATTTTTCACATCATCATTCATACAACAAACAGGTTAAAGGCATTTTAGTCTTGAATTTTGGGACACCCTGTATTATCAAGACTAAAACCAGACCTTAAACTGTCTTGTACTCCAAAATATCTATCTATCCCTTTCTTCAGTCTCTAGAAAAGACTATAGGTATTATATGTTATCTATACAAATCCGGCCGGTTATTAGATGAGAAGATAAATTAAATTGATAAAGAAGCTTTTATCAGCGTTGAAAACACTTAACACTAATAAGTATGATCAAATATTAATTCAGTAATACTACCTAAAATCTCTCACCCCTGTTCCAGAACTAAATTTAAAAGTACACATTGTACTTACTAATGGACATAAAGGGTGATTAAGTTTAAAAAATATGAAAAGCCAGAACAAAAGTCTGATCAGGTACTTTTTAGAAAAAAACTTAAAAATATCTCTATTTTCTGAGAAAACTTATCAACACTCAACAAATTTCTATTGATAATTTTAGATTTTTTGTTCTTGATCTTCTTGGAAGTTGATCTCCCGGATTTTCTTTTTTTATGGCGGGATGTCAACAATTTAAAGAAATCTTTTTTAAAAAAGTATTCAAAAAAATTACTGTCTCGGAGATTATAACAGTTCCTACCAAAACTGTGGGCCTGGCATGTACCTATGTCACATAAATTTCTCTTGAAGGTGATGGTTCATTTTGCGTACCGTCCTGTTTTGCCTTTTTATTTTAGTCTATGGTTAAACTGTACCTTCTCTAGTTGTTTAAAATCGGCCCAGTACTTGAAATGCATCGGAGTTCACAGTAATGTTGACTGACTCCTAATGTTTCCCGCTTAATTTCATTTTTAAATATAAATCAAATACTGTGTTCTATGAGGAATATAGCTATGTAAAAAAGTGATAAGAAAGAACAGTTTCTGAAAAAAAACCTGGAAATAATAACTTTAGTAAAAAGTCCCAATTTTGTGAAGTCCAATAGACAAAATGTCATTGGAAATAAATTCCTAAGCTAAAGATTCTTGGGACTTCTTTTCCTAAAATAATATGGGGGCTGCTAATAAAGGCTCAGGAAATAAAATCACAGGAATTTAAGTCCTGAAGAAAAAGTCCTGAGTCTAGGGAAAATGAGGTAAATTCTGGAATATTTTCAGAAAAAAAACTTTTCTTCTATGCATCTGCATATTTAATATAGCCAGGGGCGTTTTTAATATCAAGTCCTTTTTTCCATGGCTGTAAACATCCTAATTGTTTTCATGCATTTTCCACTATGATAGGACTTTTTTTGCGGGCATACTAGAGCCAGAAAAAAAGTCCCAGAACATAAAGTTTCAAAATGTTAGGACTTTATTTCTAGTGGTTTTTATTTCACAGGACTTTTTTAGTGCCAAAATTTAGGACTTTATTCCCGAAAACTTTTTTCAGAGAACTTGTTTGGCAATTGTATTGAATTAGATACATGTTTCGGTTTTAGTCCACTTTTGGTTGCGTTTGTTTACAAACAATTATACATTAACGTACAGCTCCCGAAACTGAGTTAATTGGATATTAGATAATTCCCACATGAAAATGACATTTTGATTGTTCCAGGAGGGTGACAACTTCAGTATAGACTCTATCTCTCAAATCTAAAATGCATATTTGCCGCTGTACGTTATACACGGTAAGGGTACTTAAGGGGATCAGGGGAGGGGGTGATTGGCCTTTGTCACAATAATCCTCTGAAAATGCATTTGTCTAGTGTTTCACGGTGAGAATAACCAAAATGAATATATTCTGATAATCTTTTCATTTAAAAATATTGTATCGATTGTAAAGCTTCATAATGATTTCAATTTATAATTAATTTCCCGTTTATATATTTATTCTTGAATGCAGAATAAATTTAGATGTTTTCTTTGTTACAGCAAGCATATACTTTAAAGTTTTTTACACAAAATTACAGCAGATTCAGGATAATCTACATATATAAATAGATTCTAACCCCATTAATTAAAAATGTAAGGGCGCCACAAGCCCGCCATAGTAGTGGTTGGGCTCTGATTAGCGTATAAAATAGCCATTTTATGAGTTTTCCGTCATATTAGAGAACTTCAACACAACTATAGGATAACTAGAGACTTCTCTAAAAAATACTCTAGCGACCGAGGCTTAATGAGAGGTTTATGGTGTAAACTCAATATTGCTGACCCCCTCCCTGATACCCCATTGTGCGTTACCTGATTCCACAGTGGGGTAAAAAGGAAGAGAGGATCTTCCTGATTTCTTCCTGTTTATCCCATTCTTTCTTTTAAGAGTAATTAAAAGAAATTTTTCAATCATTGAACATTGAAACCAAGCAAGTATAATGTGGCTCATAGAACTACATGGAATTGGTAGAATCTGGACTCGAATTCTGATCTAAATAGTTCAATAATAAAATCAATTCAGCAGAGAAAACAAATCAATTATTATGTGCATTTCATAAAATTATTTTAAAGCTAATTTGGAAAACGATTTTCTCTGTCAACAGCAGAAATAAATTTAGGATTGTTTAAATGTCGTCTGCTTAATCAATAGTTTTATGAGTCTCATTCAAATACACACAAGATTGCATATATGGGTCATTACAATATAATTTATAATTTCTCATTTTAAAAGTTTTCACATGAAACCCATGGTTGTCCAATGTCGAAATAAAAGCATCTGATAACAGAAGTTTTCTTGTTAAAGGTCTGTGCACCATATTAGTAATTTTGTGTTAAAAAGTTTGTTTTTATTTGTCACATTTTATGACATACTTTAAGTAATTGTTGAAATCTCACCTAAAATTTTTATATTTATGTATATAATAAATAAACTTTTTATTCATGTATATAAATATATATAAATAAATAAATTTGATTTCAATTAGCCCCACTTTTTGAACTTAATAATCGTTTGCATCTATTTCGTTAATAGTACGTCTTCCTGTGAAAATGTAATCCTGCGTAAGATACAGGAGTAGTGGATTTTAATAGATACATGGAAAACAAATATCCATTTAAGTATTTTCAGAAATCACCCGGCCCTGTAATGTACAGATTGACAGAAGTGAACTACATGGCCAGTACAAGTAGTAAAGGATTAGCTTACATTATCACTCTATATACTATAACCTCGTTGGTTTGACCTCAGATAGTTGGCATCTATGCCGTTCTCCCTTAGATCGTATTCATCTATGTCGTTTGACCATAAGTCAATGGCCTCTATGTCGTTTGACCTTAGGTCATTGGCCTCTATGTCATTTGACCTTAGTTCAATTGCCTCTATGTCGTTTGACCTTAGGTCGTTGGCATCTATGTCGTTTGACCTTAGGTTGTTGGCCTCTATTTCGTTTGACCTTGGGTCTTTGGATCCCCTCCTCATCCCTCTCTACCCACTCCACCTTCTTCCTTACCCTTACCTTACCCCCACCCTCCCTTTATACTCCCTCGTGAGCGTATCTATATATATATTATCTTTGGACTTAACAGTGAAAGACGCAAGCTATGATCTTGAATAGTACATGAAACGGAGCAATTGTGCAGTGTACTTCTTACATTAATTTGTTGAATGGGAAAACCAAAGAGCTTTGTATTCTACCGTCTTCGGGGAAAACTAGTGGCATTAGAAAACATGGAATATATATAAAAATGATTAAATGCCGTCTTTCTATTATTTAGTTGTCTTAAACCCATAATTATAAGGATTGAAATGAAAGGCTAGGAACCGTAACTGAAGGGAGGGGCAAAGAGCGTGCACCCCTCCCCTTTGTAAGATCAAAAATAAGTGCGTTTTCACTTTCAGTTACGTTTTCACTTTCCGTTACGTTCCTGGAAAAGGTTATCGTCTACCGAGCCCAGAAAAATGATCTCACAACTCGAATAATAATTAATTTAACTCAATTTGAAGACGACATTATTTTTTAACCAGAGAAAAGACGACGAACTTTTTTGTCGAAATCTGAACAAAATTCTTCATACCTCCGGTATTATTAAAACTACGAAAAAAGGCAGAACGCAATTTAAAAATGCCAAGTTCTACGTACTAGAGATGGTCACCTTAGGATTATTATTTGTTTGTTCATCGTTCGTAAACGAACTATTTCGTTCGTATTTTTATAATGGTTCAAAAAAATTGATTTCGTTTAATTTCTCACTAGACGATCGTTTAGTAAAATTGTTCCTTCAGTAATATCGTTCGTTCAATAAATCTTTCTTTCGGTATATAAAACTATTGTTTTAAAAAAAATGTTAGAGAATTAATCGTATGTTCAGTAAAAAAACGATAGTTTTTTAAAAGTTTGTTCCAAAAAATCTTCGTTCAGTGAAAAAACGATGAGTTTATTCAAATCTTTTGGAAAAAATCGATAGTTTTTTCAAGTTTGTTTGACTGGTTTTAGTTCGTTCGGTTTTTTTCGTTCTAAAATAAACTATTATTTTTAAATTTCTCTGAATGATCCATTGCATATATCCATCGTTAGTTTTTTTTGTACAACACACTTTTTCACGAAAGTTTCGTTCGTTCAAAAAAACGTTGCCCATCTCTACTTCTTACTACCGTAAATTATTTCAAAGACCAACTACGACCTTCAAGTCGCTTTCTACTGTTACGTGGGACACCCTGTAGAAAACAATAGAATTATTAACATCGTCTTTCTTTCTTACTATCACACAATGTAGCTTAATTTTAAGAACTATAGATGACATTTATTTATTCTATAGCTTTCTGAGCTGAAAACTTTAGAATTGTGGATATCATAATCAATGCTTGGTCTCCTATTTTTGTTATCTTAACCCTATCTCTGCTGGGTTACTTGAAAACCAGGATATGCTAGGGGGGGGGGGTCAATTTGACCCCCCCTCTAAATCCCATGTTTGATGTCCAAATATGACAAATGATACATCATTGGAAAGCTCTTGTGCTTTACCTTTAGAATCTGCAAAAAAAAATGCAAATTTGCAAAAATTGAATTTTTTATCGCAAAATCCAGTTATTTATGTTTGCACCAAAAAATTTGTCCAAAAAAATGAGAAATTATACATTTTTGAAAAGCCCTTGAACCATGCCATTTCAAATATGCAAAAAATTTAGCAAAATTTTAAATAACCTGATTTTTAATCAAGAAAAACTAAAAATATGCAAATTTCCTGTGACAGGTTGTTTGCAAAAACTGTGCTATTTTTTTCGCAAAACTTGTGCAATTCGTTTCCTTATGTCAAAGTCTTTCCAAAAAGCTAAATTTTGTCAAAATCTGACAGGTGGAAGTGGGTCAAAACAAAGATTTAGTTTGTTACAGGAAAAAGCAGTCATTCACAGTGTTCCTGAGGACTCAGACAGTTAGTATTAAAGCCCAATTTTAGGCCTAAAGGGAGGGCTTTGAGTATGGAGGAAAAGCCAGAAAATTTCAACAACCTCAGGCCAATTCTTTTTGTGCTATGTAAATGCCCCCCCCCCCCAGCAGGAATAGGGTTAAGATTGTTTTAATCTTTAGTTTGTATACAGGAAAAATACTAAAAATCAACCAATTAGAGTACAGAAATCAGAAAAGCCAATCAGAAGCAGGGAAATTTCAAATTTTGCGCGCCATTTAATGAGATAACTCTTATTGGTCGGAATCCAGTAGGAACATTCATACAGGGGAAACACAGCAGATTCAGTAGAACTCAAAACTGTCCACAGTGGATATTCAGATTAAGCGATAGGTATTAATTGGTATCCAAATCTTAAGTTTTTAGCTTTGGTCGCATATGCATTCTTATTTGTATGTGTTTAACAATAAAAACTAGAATTATGACTGCCAACATGTATTTAATATATTGCTTTGTGTGACTATATATAAAGCAGGACAAGAAAGACATACTAAGCTACTACTGCATAAATGGGCCAGGGGTAAATGTACTGCACGTGTCTGGTGCAAACGTAAACAATCTTTGATTTAGTTGCAAACCTTGCACCAATATACGTTCTCACACTTCTGAGCGCATGCTTCCTTGGGAACGGTCTTACAAGATTTTTCTGGAACATTTTCACATTTTTCCTGGGGAACTGTCCTACAGTCCTGATGCGGATAGGATTCACAACGTTCCTTGGAGACGGTGTGACAAGCTTGCCTTGGAACTTTGGAACATTTCTGTTTTGGAACAGTATTACAGGCTTGTCTTGGAACGGTTGAACATTGGTCTCGTGGAACTTTATGACAATGTTCCCTGGGCACCTTGTGACATTCTTGTTTGGGAACATTCTGGCAAACCTGACGGGGAACGGGAACACATTCTTCCCTTGGAACACTTTCACAGTGTTGTTTTGGAACATTGACACAGTGCTGCTTGGGAACGTCAATGCAATGAGGTTTTGGAACAGTGACACAGTGGGGTTTGGGAACTGAAATACATTCCTGGTCTGGAACAGCTTTACATTCCTGTTTTGGAACGGTTTCACAGTGTTCCTTTGGAACATTTACACATTGCTCTCTTACTACTGGCTTGCAATGGTTCCTAGGAACAGGGTGGCATGCCTTTCTTGGAACATTTTTACATTTCTGCTCAGGGACGTTATGGCATTGTTGTCTGGGCACGTTTCTACATTCTTTCCTTGGTACCTTCTTGGGAACAGAGTGACAGTTTTGTCTTGGAACACTTTTGCATTCACGTTCCGTGGTTGGAACACAATGCTGGTGTGGCACACTTCTAAATAGAAGATATTTTTGTGAAATATAATATTTTAATGAAACTAATTAGTATTTGTTCTTTGTTTGAGTTTGTATGTATAAAAAAGCTAAACATGTTTGGTGTTCAATGTCTTTTTTAGGACGTATTTGAAAAGGTCACATTCGACATGTCTTCAATTTGTTCTTGCATCGCTCGTTAAGTTAAGTTTGTTCGTCATTTATTGGTTGATTCAATTATTATCTATTATCGTTTGGTCACTGCGAATTCGTTAATGATCCTTGATTTTAGTTCGTTAAATTTGAATTAAAGGGAGTGACCGGCTATGTATGGTAGTTGAACTGAGTATGCATTGTTGTGGAAAACTTTTATAATTTTTACTTTATTTTTCATTGTCGTTATTTCATAAAATAAAAAAAAACTAATTCTCAAATGTATCCACCCCTAAAGTAAGAGTTTTTGACGTCGAATTTGCGCTCAAACTCAGGATTTACTGATCTTTGAAAAGTTTAATATGTCTCAAATGAATCCGAAAGAAGTTTTCCACAACACTGCATACTCAGTTCAACTACCTTACATAGCCGGCCACTCCCTTTAAGGGTTTCCAACAAATTTTTTTTTTAGAGAAGTAAGGGAAGTGTTGTTCAAAGTCAAAGAAGCAAGGGAAGTGGAGTTCAAAGAAGCAAGGGAAGTGCAGTTCAAAGAAGCAAAGGGAAGAGCAGTTCAAAGAAGCAAGGGAAGTGGAGTTCAAAGAAGCAAGGGAAGTGCAGTTCAAAGAAGCAAAGGGAAGTGCAGTTCAAAGAAGCAAGGGAAGTGCAGTTCAAATAAGCAAAGGGGAGTGCTTTTCAAAGAAGCAAGGGAAGTGCTGTTCAAAGAAGCAAGGGAAATGCAGTTCAAAGAAGCAAAGGGAAGTGCAGTTCAAAGAAGCAAGGGAAGTGCAGTTCAAAGAAGCAAGGGAAGTGCTGTTCAAAGAAGCAAGGGGAAGTGCAGTTCAAGAAAGCAAGGAAAAGTGCTGTTCAAGAAAGAAATGAGAAGTGCTGTTCAAAAAGGCAAAGGGGAGTGCTGTTCAAAGAAGCAAGGGGAGTGCAGTTCAGAGAAGCTATAGAGCATTTAACTACCTACAGGTTATGAAGTCCAATTTCAAACATTCAAAGATTTTAATCTTAGATGTATATCCTTGTTTAAACTTGAATACTTTTCAAGTTTGCTTTTATTGCATTATCTTGATGTTTTCTCTGACCAAAGATATTAACCAAAACGAGTTTTCAAAACGATTAGTAAAATCGCTTTTAAAAAATTGTTTTTAAAAATAGTTTATGTTATTTTCTTTGGCCAGAGACAATAATTTTATATTGTATAAAAGTCAACATATCAAGAATATAAGTTTGCATTAATAAATAACTAACATTCTCATTCGCACTTTAACGTCACCAAAACTCTGAATGTTTGAAAACAAACTTTACAGCAATGTCCATCCCTACCTAGAGGAAAATTATTTATTTAGTCTACTGTCCCTTTTGCCAGATATATTCTGTATGTTTTTTGTACAACTTGTTGTAGCTGCTTACATGTCAGTTTGGTACTTCAAATGAACCTAAGGCCGAATTTAAAGAATTTGAGCCGCGGCTCACTTAAAATTATTTCAATGTTTCAAGATTTAAGCCCGCGCTTAATTGAAACCGGTTTTTTGCGGATTTTATACGCGGCTGAAATTCCTCAAATTCGGCCTCTGGGTGCAGTTCAGAAGATTTAGAATTAGAAACAAACCTGCAAACTGGTTTTGCCACTGGACTACACACTTTTTTGGGAACCTTGGTACATAAGCCTAAAATAATAAATAAAATATAAAAAGAAATTAGATTTGGAATTTGAAAATGACCTCACCAATCCCTCCGAAAACAAAGGTTTATTTTTGTTCTTTTAAAAAAGAAGCACTAAACATTAGTTTTCCTCTGAAATAAAAAAAAACAATAAAAATTTTCTCACAAAATAAACAATTTGCCCATTCCGCTGGAGACATGACATTGTATCAAATAAGTTTAACGAAAATAAGAAAAAAATAGAATAAAAGTTTCAACCTGAGCTGGCATGTCCATATGATCTTCCCTCCCGATCTGAAATAGCAACAAAGTTTTATTTTTTCAAAAATTTTTAAAGCAAATAAAATATACATATTTTTTTAGAGAAAGGATCATCTGGAGAATTGATGTTTGTTATAATCTTTACATTAAATGAGGCAGCATTATAATAAAACCCCTAATTCTGGCATTTCCAAACTGGAGTCTGCTTGTTTTAATGCATGAAGAATTCTGATTAGGGTTCTTACAGTTGTCAAAGATTAAAAAAGATCTTTAAGTTGTTTCTCAGTTGTCAAGTTTTGATTAATAGTGCACCCTGTATCTCTTTTCAACCCATCAAATTTATTTGAAACGCATTTGCCAACAAAAAGTAAAAATGAAATTAAAGTTAAAGGAATAAACTGTTGTCATACAGTTGTAAAAGGTCAAAAAAGATCTTTATGTTGTTTGTAGTTGTAAAGTTTGATTGAATAGGGCACCCAGGTTCCTTTTTCAGCCCATCAAAACTTGTTTGAAAGACATTTGATAAAAAAAAGTAAAAAAAAATAAAAAAGCGAAAGGTCTGAGCTATTGTCCTAAAGTTGTCCATAAAAAAACCCATAAAAATTGACCAAATACTGTGTAGTAAAATAAGTTCAAACCATAATCAGGTGCAGGTTTTGGGTCTGCTTCTCTTTTCCATTGCTTTCTCCATGGATACCCATATCCATATCCAGGACCATATCCTCCGGCTAGATTAGCAGGTCCATGCGCAACTCCATGAGCAGGTCCATGTGCAACACCATGTGAAACTCCATGAGGATGAACTAGTCCCAGCTTGTGGGGACCAGGATAACTATAACATTCAGAAGATCAGGGGGATTGTAAACATTACACAAATGTTACGCTTAAATTATGTACGTAATGTGGTAATAGAGATATAATAATAAATGGCTCTTTATAAGATATTTTTAGAACATTTTCAAACTTTGGGTTTTTCATTTCTTTAAGTATTACCCAGGTTGAACGCCACAAACAGTCTGGTATTCTATCCTGCATTCCGGTGTCTCTACACTAGTACATTCCTTAACAAAAATTTCTTTTGGTAGTGTACATTTAAACATAATAATTCTGCCTACCGCCATAAATAAAGTTTTGTTTTGGTATAAAAACAATTTGGATAACAGCAAACAAATTTTTCTAAAATGATTTGTATCCCATTTATATTCTAACGCTTATTGATAATGCATGTATACATCATTCTTGTTACTTTGCTATACTGTCCAGTGTACACGTAGCACAAAATTCATGTACCTGTGTATACGGTACACAACATTCATGCACATGTGTATACTATGCACTACATTCATGTACCTGTGTATACTGTACGCTACATTCATGTACATGTGTATAGTGTGTATACTGTACACTACATTCATGTACCTGAGCCCAAAACTTAAGACAGGGTATCGTTATGAAAACCAGTTTTAAAACCCGGGTTTCACGAATGGGGTTAGTCAGTTTTGTGGATATCAATATTTTTGTCATGAAATACTATTTTATTTAGTTTCTTAATATTCTCCATTTTGGTCGAATCTCTTTAATCAAAATCTACAAAATGTTAAGACCCCAAAAAGGACACTCGTAAGTTTCGTTCGACGATACTCTTTTAAATTTCGGACTCTGTGTAATGTGCATACTGTACACTACATTCATGTACATGTGTATACTGTACACTATATTCATGTACCTGTGTATACTGTACACTACATTTATGTACTTACTGTACACAACATTCATGTACTTACTGTACACTACATTCATGTACATGTGTATACTGTACACTACATTTATGTACCATGTGTATACTATACACCACATTCATGTACCATGTGTATACTATACACTACATTTATGTACATGTCTATACTATACACTATATTCATGGACCTGTGTATACTGTACACTAAATTTATATGCCTTGTATTGTTCATTACATTATAGTAGCTGCAGTGTATACTGTACACTATATTCATATACCTGTGTATATTGTACACTACAGTCTTGATTTGGTACATCAACGCATTCTTCTTCTTGTACAGTAGAACACTTTTCCTCAGATCTGTACATAATATTTAAAATTTTTTGATCAATAATTTTGATTTGAGGTCGGAATTAATAAATATCGGTACCTAGACGATGACCTACAGTGCTGTTCTAAATAAACCGGAATTAATGTCAATTGATTGAAGACTTAAAAGTAGTATTTCACCTTAGAAATAGTTTCCGGCATTCATGTTGGCAACCCTGATTTTAGAAATAGTTTCCGGCATTCATGTTGGCAACCCTGATTTTAGAAATAGTTTCCGGCATTCATGTTGGCAACCCTGATTTAAGAAATAGTTTCCGGCATTTATGTTGGCAACCCTAATTTTAGAAATAGTTTCCGGCATTCATGTTGGCAACCCTAATTTTAGAAATAGTTTCCGGCATTCATGTTGGCAACCCTAGTTTTAGAAATAGTTTCTGGCATTCATGTTGGCAACCCTAATTTTAGAAATATTTTCATGCAACTATAATCACAAAAAAGCGCTAGTCCTCCCATTTCCAAAATGTAGGCTGCCATTTGTTTGCTTTCAATATTAACAGAGTTAGTAATAATTTAGTTTAGATTTAAATTTATTAAATAAAACTATGAAAAGGTAATTCTGAGCGAAATAATCATGTAACCTCCGGGTATTGTCAAATCACAGAAAAAGGCAGAACACATTTTGAAAATGGCAGGATTATTTTACATACCCTGTATAGTCCCCCACGGCCGAAATCGATTCAACACTTTGTAACCATTCTTATTAACGCCATCCCCCCCCCATTTCCCTTTGATGCAGCCTTAGCCTTCCTTAATCTTCATTAATTTAATCTAAACTGAGGCTCACTCTTTATACTTATAAATGTTGCCTAGACTGTTGTCAGCAAGAACACAATCAAATGTTGAATTACCATGATAATTGAAAAGTGTAGATATCAATAAGAACTGTAGTGTAAGATGTGCATGAGATATATAAAAATACGCTGTCATATTTAGCGGTGTACAAACAAAAGATCGTATATGTATTGCAAATTGCAAGGTAGGATAGAAATATAATGATGATAATTTAGGGTTAAACCATGATAGTGAATCCTCAAATCATCTTTCTTTGTTGTTACACACCAGCTTGATGTTTACAGTGTACATTGTACAATTAGGTCTAGATCTAGGTTTAGGTCTAGGTCTAGGTCTAGATTTATGTCTAGGTCTAGGTCTAGATCTGGGTTTAGGTCTAGGTCCAGGTCTATGTATAGATCTAGGTTTAGGTTTAGGTCTAGGTCTAGGTCCAGGTCTAGGTCTAGGTTTAGGTCTAGGTCTAGGTCTAGGTCTAGGTCTAGGTCTAGGTCTAGGTCTAGGTATAGGTATAGGTATAGGTTTAGGTCTAGGTCTAGGTCCAGGTCTAGGTCTTGGTCTAGGTCTAGGTCTAGGTCTATTATTACATTGTATCGTAGACAACTTTACACTCTTCTTCTGGAACAACATTACACTTCTGAGCATTTTATATCATAAAATTAGATTAAATAATCATTTAAAACATGAATATGAAAAAATTGCTTAATTTTTTCCGAAAAGTAAATTTTTAGAGTTAAAGGGAGTGTTCGCAAAAAATGAAAGGGGGTATTTCGAATTCAATTCAATATCAGCCTATGCCCATATTCAATTTTTTCATACACTCCCTTTACGATTTTATTCTTCTAACCTTTTCCTGTACAATTGTACATTTTTCTTCCTGTAAAACATGGCATTCCTGTGAAGTGGATTTCAGTACTAATACCATTATACAGGAAAACATTACAAAAAATGAGACTTTAATGACGTCATAAAACTATTACAAAGGATGAGACTTTAATGACGACATAAAACTATTACAAAGGATGAGACTTTAATGACGACATAAAACTATTCGATTTTTCTTAGATTCTAACAATCCTGAAATATAAGGCATAAGCTTTTGCCTTCAATAAAGTCTTATACAGATTCTAAAATTAAAGAACGAAAAGTTAGAACTTAAAAGTTAAGTTTCAGCTTAAATGTCACTTAATTTAAGCCTTGATTTTAAGCTACAGCTTAAATATTTAACTCATCGATCCGTATTAAACTTAGTGATATTTAAATGCATGAAAATGATTTAATCAGAGGTTGAATTTAATTATAATATGAGCCGCGGCTCAAATTTGGTTGGTTTCACTAAAAATTGTATTAAATTTTTAAAGATTCAAGCCGGCGCTCAATTTAAACCGGTTTCTGGCGGACTTAAGACGAGGCTCAAATTCATAAAATTCGGACACTGATTTAAGTTTATAAACCTTTTCCCGTAATCTGGAATAAATAAATGCATCGTATATTTAATGCTATGTATATTTTTGCGCAGCAGTTTTGTGAAGAAATTGAAATTGCGAAACAGCGGATGTTGCATAATCTCTGTCAATCGTTAATCTCCGTAATTTTCGTAATCTGTTTTGTAAGTTCTTGAATTGTGCAGGGAAATTTAAATTTCCCTGCACAATTTCTATGTCGCATATTCATGTCGTCTTCCTTCTCAATTGTTTTCTGGTTATCACTGTACGTTTGTTGACTACCGCAGTTCATGTAGTTTATCGTGTGTACTGCATAAAAACATCCTTGTGGAGAAAAAATAATCACACTACAAGCAGCCGTAGTACATTTGAATTTCCGAGCCGGGTCAACCTTTCCGGTCCCAGTTTGTACTGTACCTAGCTCCATGGAAAGGACTAGCCGGTGCAACAAGGTTGATGCGGTCAGACTTTATGCTTTATATAGGTTGAATTTACTTTTACCAAAGGGGCAGATTTGCGTGACACAAGGAAGTCAAACTGCCATTTTAATTAGGAAATACTTACAGTCTGCTTTTGGACGAGTTTACGGAATTTATTCAGTCGTTTTATTTAAATTCTTTGTTTGATCCTTGCCACTGCACACGAGTTTCTTTGTTTGACAATTCAATTAATTTTCATTTTAAATCCTAATTTAGAATAAAAGTCTAAATTAAACAGACATATTTAAAGTGTTTCAGGTCGTCATTGAAGTCTCATTGTTTGTGGGTAACTCTGTATAATATAAAGGGTGGGGTCTTGTCAAGTATAAAGAAGAGGGAATTTATTAGCTATCATCCAAACAGGGATGTCTGTAATCTTTCCATCCAACTATCTATCTTTCTTTCTATCTATCTATATATCTATCTATCTATCTATCTATCTATCTATCTGTATATCTATCTATCTAAATATCTATCTATCTAAATATTTATCTATCTATCTAACTATCTATCTATCTATCAAATATATATATATATATCTATCCCTCCTTCTATCTAACGATTTCAATTCTATAACCTTAAAGGGTCGATCGACATAAACTCAATTAAAGAGTTATATGCACGCAGGTTTTATTCCCCTATCCCAAAATGGTACCCAACCTTGCTCAGAAGAAGGTTAAAAGGGTACCGTTGTGAATCTAGCATTCCCCTCTGTACATAAAAGTTTACTTAAAATAACCTTCACATTGTTCCTGTCTGTGAGAGTATTTATAACAAAAGGAATAAAAATAGATGAACATCATGTTTAAGCCTAAAATCATGAGTATCATGGTTTAAAATTCTTTCAATTTATTCACCCAGCTCTTGTCATGGGCATCGCTTGTAGGTCTGTATTTAAATATTTAAAGTTACAATTTTAAAAGGCTCCAAAAGATTATGTATATCCCATTTCAAACTTGTATGCTGGAAACGTTTATTTTTATTACATTATGCAATATTTTTACACTGACCAAAGATATTCACCAAACACGATTTGTTTCGGTTTGTAATATCTTTTTGGTTAATATATTCGATCAAAGAAAACAATTCGCACAATGTAATTCAGCAAACTTATCGAGAATACAATTTTGCAATGTGTTAAATAACTCACTTTTGTTGAGCACTTTCAACGTAAGAAAAGCGTAAATGCCTCCAACCGTTTCTGAAAACGTTCCTGAAAACGTTCCTGAAGACGTTCACGACATCGAGGCACCCCATTATAGTAGCTATGACTGGGCTAATGTGGTCGTACTGGGGCCAAAAATCATTCAAAATAGTAGGAGGGGGGGGGGGGTATTTTTGATCTTGAAATCACTCCTGTTCGGTGACTGGTGTACAGACAGGAGTGGGGACTGAGTGGCACTTCTGTTCTGGTACTGTTCGGCACTCTTGACGGTTTACAGGCCGGCACTCCTGATTGAGAATTAATTTTTGGATCGTTTTTCACAATAAATATTTTTTTCTAGAGGCTCAATAAAAATCTATGATGATTATATTTTACAATTACGATAATATTCTTTACAGAAGTGGCTCAAGTTATTTTCCAGGGGGGGAAAATATTTAAAATGATAAGCGCGAAGTTGTCATAAATTTGTTATTACCCCGGCACAAATTCCTCCCCCCCCCCCTGGAATTATGGGTGATGTTTATATCAAAACATAGCATGGGTTGGAAGAGGGAGAATGTTTTTTTTTTTTTTAATTTCTTAAAAATCAAATTTTAAGAACAATGTTTGCCTCCATCGAATTGCAAAATAATTCTACTCTGACCAAGGCAAAACATTGATCAAACTTTATGGATATCATCTTTTGTCAAATTAAGAAATGGCATGGTGGTTAACAAAGAAAAATAAGAGTAAATCAATTTCTGGTTTTAATGCGGAGTCAGGAAACCTTAAATATAAGAAAAGAATAAAGAACTTTGTTCTATATACTTATATTATATGTAAAGTTATTAAAATTCAATTTCATACGATCAGGGTTCAAATTTAGCATGGTTTAAAACATTTTGTTTAGATTAAACAAGTTTACAAAGATTTGCTTTCTCACAATATGCCAAATATTAATCCTGAAGGTAATTATAGCAAAAAATGAACAAAGACATAACTTCAGGGGATATTAGTTCCAAAACTAAAACTTGGCCCTTGTCTAACCCTTAGTGTTAGACAAGGGCCAAATCTGCAAAGTTATCTTTTTCAAGAATAATTATCCTTAAATCCAAGACGATTAGAACCATACATTCATAAAAATTGGCAAAAGCTATATATTGTTTATAGATGTCAATTTAAAACTAATAATAAGGTGTGAGAATTAGTTTTTCATGATTCTCGATTTCATTTTCGAATATATCCCTATGTTTTAACAATTACCGGATTTCAGCTCATGTCGCGTTTTTTGGAACATATCCTGGTTTTGAGACAATTACCGGAATTCAGATCAAGTCAATTTTAAAGCATTTACGCCGTAACAAAACAGGATTTTTTGATAAGGTAAAATATAAAAAGTAGGAAATAAAAAGGAACTGTTCTTTTATAATTTAAAAATCATTACAGCATTGAGAAATCAAAATATTAATATCATTTTTCTTACGATAGATTTAAACAAATAGATTAACAATCTATTTGGACTTAACTAGAAATGTGGGAAACTGTTTGTTTAAAATGCTTGAAAATAAATCATCGATATTCTCTAATTTAACAGATAAAATGTGGAAACGCGTAAATTCTAGAGAAATAATTCATAAGATAATTTTTTGTTTTCAGTGATTTATTTTGTAAGCTATGAAAGTGAGTTTTGTTTTGAATTGCAGATTATACTTAAAAACGGGAAAGTGGGTTTTGTCTCGAAACGCGACAATGTTTCAAATTCAAGATGTGTTCGAAAATGGAAAACCTGACATTGTCTTGAAAACGGTTAAGAGATTTAATTTTTAAAAACTCCGATTATAATTTTGATTTTAAAAAAGTTTAAAATTGGGAATTGTTGTCCTCGTCATGTTTAATAAAATGTTGGTTATAGTTTTTACTATCGACTTTTACTCTGGATATGGGCCGGGATCCCAAAAAACCCAGTCTTTTAATCTGTGCCCATTTCTAAATTGTTAGAAATGGGCCAAGTGTTAGTTTTGGAACTAATATCCCCTGCACTAACTGTGGCAATTTGCGAATAAAGGGGCTGAAAGCGTAATGTCGAGTGACCCTCCTGCCATGCAAAGATGGCGATGTCCTATTTACAACAGTACCCTAAACAAGTATGAAATAGGTTTATATATCTTCAAACTGTTAATTTTTATTTGCGGTTTCTACGTGAAATGGAGAAACCATGGGGGATAATTGTTCTCTACCTGTGTGCTCAGTTAGCTTTACAGTACTCTTACAACTGTTTACTAACAATAAACCAATAATGATATAGTATAGGTTAGGCCAGAATCTCCTTATAATAATCAAATATGCAGTAGGCTCTCGATATAGTTCCCGCGGAGCCCAAAATTTAAGACAGGGTATCGTTATGAAAACCAGTTTTAAACCCGGGTTTCACGAATAGGGTTAGGCAGATTTGCTAATATCAATATTTTTGTAATGAAATGTTATTTTTTTCAGTTTGTTTATATTCTCCATTTTTCCAAATCTCTTAAATCAAAATCTACACAAATGTTAAAACCCCAAAAAGCAAACTCGGGAGTTTCGTTCAACGATACTCTTTTAAATTTTGGGCTCTGCCTATACAATTAGTAAAAGATTATCGAGTTCATCATCACTCTATATACTATAACCTGGTTGGGAGAAACGCACAGAAATAAACACTTTACGGGTTAGAAAAACGACGTCATCTTCCACATTTTTGATCAGACTGAGATTTCAAGGGAGTCGTTATAAATTGGGCATCTTTGCGTGAAGGGTCACTAAAAATTACGCAATTACAGTCCTTTTAAGATATTTTTAGGGACACCCTTACCTGTTCAAGATGCGTTGTACACTGTTGTTCCGGTACGTTAGTGCACTGTTGTTCAGTAACAACACTACACTCCTGTTCAGTCACTGTACCGCACTGCTCATCATAAACTACAGAGCATTTGTTTTCTTGAACAACTGAACACTGCTGCTGAGTCACGGTTTTACACTCGTCTTCGTATGCAGTTGAACACTGTTCCTCGTACACAACTGTACACTGCTGTTCAGGAACTGTACTGCACTGCTCTTCATATTCTAAGTATGTTACAAATTATAGAAATTCAATTATTTTTTTTTTTAACAATTAAACCAAAACTGTATTAAAGAAACAAAGCGAATATGTGACTCATGGGGTTGCTCTGGGCCATGGCTGCCAATTGACAAAAAAAAAACATTAATATGTGGCTTAGAAGTAGAAATTAGTATCGTTCTTGAACCAACGAAATATTTTGTACATGAAAAAGGGTGTCGTTCAGAAAAGAAAAGATCGATGGAAGAACGAAATGGATCGTTTAGAGAAATGATCGTTTTTAAAAACGAATAAAAAAACGAACTACTTTAAATCGTTTGAACAATCTTGATCGTTCATTACCGATGTTTTTCGTTTTTTTTCAAAAGATTTTGAAAAAACTTTCGTTGTTTTTTCACTGAACGAACAATTTCTTAATACACTTGTTGAAAAAAAAGTTTTTTTCTTCTGTACTAATGATTTTTTTCGAAAAAAGGTTTGGAAAAAGTATCGTTTTTACTTTTTGTGGCAATTTCATTATTTGAAATTGAATAATTTATGAATTACAAAAATAACTAATTACCAGTTACTACTCTAATAAAGAAATAATTGATAAAGAAAAATCTTTACAAATATTTCACTGCCTTAAAAACATTTCTTTGTCACAAAAACCATTCCTCTATAAAAAAAAAATACATTTACCTGTTGTACAAACATTCTCATGTACGGTTGTACACTCTTGTTCTGGTACAATTCCGCACTTTTCTTTTTGTACAGTTTTACATTGCTGTTGATTATACGTCTTACATTGTTTCCTACTGGTTGTCTCACACCACTAAAATACACACAGTTGATCTAAAGGGACTGTACATGCAGTATCAAGTGACTCTCTATTTCCAGAGTGGCACGTCTGATTCACAACAGTTCTCTTTAAAGCTTTGTATAATCAAGAATGAATAAGATAATGATGGTTTCTAGCGTGGTTTAATAAGTGACTCGCGCACTACTGCTTCAGAAACAATGGAAGAAATTGTCAAATTAAACACATAAGCTACAAAGAAAACCAGAAAACAATGGAATAGAAAAACGACACTATACAAAGACTGAAGTCTATTTTATGTTGTTACAACGCAAAAACTAGTAACTTATTTAATCACTAATTAAGTAAAATGGGTCTGTTTACACTGCACAATTTCACAGTCTTATGCTCCTTGAATTTTTTAAAGCTACCACTTGATTCTAAAACTCGTATTTTTATTTAAGAGTTATCTGGTTATTATTGTAGAAACATTACGATCTCATCCGCGATAATGTTTAAAGGGAGTGACTGGCTGGGTTAGCCAGTCACTCCCTTTAAAGGGTTTCTGGTTTACCTGGGTATTGACAAGTCCACACTCTTGATGGCATTCAGGTTCATTGAAACATCTAAAATAATGAAACTCTTTAGGTACAAAGGTTCTACCTTAATTTCCCAAGGTCCAAACTTGAGTTCCCAAGGTCCAACCTTGAGTTCCCAAGGTCCAACCTTGAGTTCCCACGGTCCTCCTTGAGTTTCAAAGGTCCTACCTTGTGTTCCAAAGGGTCTACCTTGAGTTCCCGCGGTACTAACTTGAGTTTCCATGGTCCTACCTTGAGTTCCAAAGGTCCTACCTTTTGCTCCCATGGTCCTAACTTGAGTTCCTGAGGTACTACCCTTAGCTCCCACGGTACTACCTTGAGTTCCAACGGTCCTACCTTGAGTTCACACGGTCCTACCTTGAGTTCCCACGGTCCTCTTGAGATACTTTTAGGATTTGGCAGTTGTCTTCCACAGTTTGGGGTCCAGTATATGCGGCAGTTAGTTGTCCTGTAATATATTATTCATGATTTTTGTTCTTGTCCCATTCCTAGCCCTAGTCTTAGTCTGCTAGTTCTCGTCCTAGTTCTAGTTCTAGTCCTAGTCCTAGTTCTAGTCCTAGTCCTAGTTCTAGTCCTAGTCCTTGTTCTAGTCCTAGCCCTAGTTCTAGTCCTAGTCCTAGTTCTAGTCCTTGTCCTAGTTCTAGTCCTAGTCCAAGTTCTAGTCCTAGTCCTAGTTCTAGTCCTAGTCCTAGTTCTAGTCCTAGTCCTAGTTCTTGTCCTAGTCCTAGTTCTAGTCCTAGTCTTAGTTCTAGTCCTAGTTTCTATTTCTAGTCCTAGTCCTAGTTCTAGTCCTAGTCCTAGTTCTAGTCCTAGTCCTAGTTCTAGTCCTAGTCCTAGTTCTAGTCCTAGTCCTAGTTCTAAAACATATTTCTTATTTTATACAAAGAAGATCTTTGTAAGCGTGAAATCCTGGGAAAGCTATTGTTCAAATATCATTATTTTGTATTCTATCGCAGGTTTGAAATGTCAAGTAACACATAAATATTCCCGGATTTGCTGATGAGATATATACACTAGAGGCTAGAGCTGGATATGTACACTAGAGCTGGATATATACACTAGAGCTGGATATGTACACTATAGATCTGGATATGTACACTAGAGCTGGATATGTACACTAGAGCTGGGCGTTGTTTAACGCATCGTTGTTAACATTGACAATAAACTAGGGTTAAAAAGGAATTGAGTTTTTGCCACAAACTCAAATTTACCTAATTTAATATTTTAACCATCGTTAACAACGTAAGCGGTAACGAAAATAAAGTACTTTTTAGCAATCATTACTTTAAAAAAGGAACAAAGATTTGGACTGAAACGTGGAACAAACGATTGGGCTGAGGGCCTTCATGTTGAGAAACATGAAGTGAACGGTTTTTAAAATATGTGCCCTGCCCTAATATACTTTAGGCTTTGTTGCAAAACATCAGAGATTTGAATGCCCGGAGCAACGCATCTGTTTAAAGAAGAACAGAGTGACTTTTACTAATGAAAGTCAAACTTAAAAAGAGTCCTTTTAGTATTGCGAAAAGCACTTTTTTTGTTGAACTTGTTTCAGAATTTACAGATTACATAGTAGAAGGTATGAAGCGAAAAACAATCTAAACAAAATACAAAACCGTTCACTTTTCTAATAGTTTCGTTTAATATTTGTTCATCTTTTTACAAATTTTCCAAAAAAGTCAGCAACAAACTAGCATAAAATATCCAATTTAATGATCTTTTAAAGGAACTTAGTTTATGCCAAAAACTCAAATTTTATAATTCCTATATCTTTGAATTAGTTTAACATTGTAAAGGTCTGCGACGTCAAGTTGTAAATATATAGTAAAGTGTACACAGACATATTTCACTATATACGTATATTTTCAATGCTACTGGTGTACAAATGTTTGATTTTGAACAAGTAGAAAGAAATTAATGAATGATCGTCTTCTTACACCATTGTTGTTTTGTTCCCACTGTAGACTGTACTTTTTGTTGCCAAGTTGATATTTAAAATTGCAATTCGACAAATCTTCAAGTATTGCAATACCACAATTAATTTTGATAAATAACCAAAACAATGTAATTATTATAATTGCATAATCAAAATATTTCTATAAAAAGTTGCGTCATCCCGTCATCATGACCTTTAAATGATGGTACTATATAATGATAAATCTATCACAGCTGTATAATTGCATAGCGCACGATGCACCAGTTGCATCTTACTGCACCTCTGCTTAAATGCATCTTCAAGTTGCATTATATCGTTGGCAAAAATTATACAAATTATTCATTCAAATCACATCTTGGGTATAATTACTTTCAAGTTATTTCAGTGTTAACCCTCAGTCTACCAATAAACGATGATGATATCTTTGTTTTTCTTTCTGAAAAATGTATTTTATCAAAAAAAGGAAGACAAAAAGCTAAAATGTGGTATGGAAGGGAAAAATGTTATGGCTTATGGCCGCCTGCCTTCCCCGCTCCAACTATTACTGTATCAAATTCAACCCGGAACTTAGATGATAAAAATGTTGCCAATTTGTGCAAAATATCATAAATTTTGACCAAATTTATTTTTCTAAAGACAATCTGTATCCCCCCCCCCCCCCCCTGCTTTTGATCTAATCTTTATCCCCCGCACCCTAATCTTCAAACTGGACCTTGCCTTTTAATTTAATTTATTTTCTTTTTTTTCGGGACTGTTGACTTATTTTGATCATTTAACATTTGCAACTTTAATCTACATCTAATACATATATGCATTGAATATCTGAGCTTATGAATAGAGTATAAGTGATAAATAAAGGTGTCATAGAGAAAACTGCTTTATTTTATTAAAGTTAATCTGAACTTTTCAGATCTTTATATTACTCACTGACCACTATATAGTAAAACAAAATTTGTTTCGAAAACCTACATTTTAAAGTTTGAAAATATTGAAAATGATCATTGCTTCGGATTCACAATTATACAAACCTGATAATAATATCTTAGTAAGAAGTGATTTTTATCTACTAACAATGATATGGGGGTTTATTGAAAGATAACTAGGTATAACCATAACGATAACATGTAAAAAAAACATCCTCCTTAAATCTATTCTTGTTGCTTTTCTTCAACCTTTTATATTGTATACTGAGTATACCCCGCGTGTTTAAAAAATTGTCAATAACTTCTTATGTTTAAAAGTAGACCCTAACTCACTCCATACTTTAAAAGTACTTGATTCATAAACTAACAAAATTTTATTATCTCCAATTTCCAAATTAGTTTTTCGTTGCAAAAACTTTATCTGCCCCGATTCATGCAAATTTGCATATTTTGCACTGCCCGAGTATGAGAATATTTGCAACAATGTGTGCACTAAAATGTCTAAAAAATTGAAACTACAGCGTGAATGGGAATGGAAGGTCTTGGCTATATGATTTTAATTATATCGTGCAGGGCTAGAAAAATCAAAGATTTTTATTTAAAAGACGGCCAATACCAATCATTTTTAAATATCGTTCTTTGTCAAGCAATCTTGAAATATCACCAATAAAAAAACTCTCCGTTAGGTTTTATAAGGGATGCACCCTTTTTTTTGAGGAAAAATGTACATTTTGACATTGACCTATATATTCAAATATTTGAAATTAAGAATCATAAAATTGAATATCTGCAACCCAGACCTGAAATATTAACATGTAAGGGTCAGAAAATTGACCCTAAAAATATTGAATTCGGCAGATTGTGAAGGGATTACAGCAGTACAGTTTTTGTAAACAAAGATTATCGGATTCCTAGTGCAAGGATGATACAGGGTTACCCACAAAAGATGAGACTTTAGAGACCCAAAGTCATTCTTCAAATGAGAAGTCACATCCTTTGTTGTTTATCCTGTACTCTGTACCCTGTACCCTATACCCTGTACCCTGTACCCATCCCCCCTTCCTTAGGCGTCTACCTTGAATTGTTTTATCAATTTATATCAATTCTTTGTATGCTTTATAACCTTCTTTTGATGCCAATGAAATGAAAATAAACTTTAATATTATGTCTAATAACTCCTCATTTTTGTTTGAGTGTCTACTATCTATATCTTCCCACCAAGATACTTCATATATCCTTTCCTATAACTTTCCTTATCCTTTCCTTTCCTTTTCCTTTTATTTCTATTCCAAAATTTTTTAGAATGGGGGGAAATATTTCCACGACCTCTACTTTTAGAGGTTTTTAAATAAATTCTCCTGAAACACTTTATTTTGTATGTTTTTGTTATATTTCATTAATAAATAATTTTTTACTTTACTTTACTATCCATCCTACCTTAATTGCTACTTCATAACCTTCCTACCTTCCCACTTTAAAAGTCCCCTACTACCTTAACACTTCATATATCCTTCCTACCTTGCAACTTCATATTTCCTTCCTACCTTGGTACTTTATAACCTTTCTACCTTATACCCTTCGTACCTTTATACTTCATATATCCTTCCTACCTTGATACAATATAACTTTTTTACCTTGCCTTACCTTGCCTTTTACCTTTTACCTTTCCTACCTTGCTACTTTACAACCTTCCAACCTTTCTTATTACTTTTAATCTTTTCTATCTTATCACTCTAAATTTAACCTTCTAAACCTACTTTATAAGTTTATAACCTTAAATAATTCCCCATGCCCTCATTAAACTTTAACTTTCATGTTCAAGTACTATAATATCATTTTATATCCCGACAATTACAAGCAAAGACAATCAATAAATGAACCAGAATGTCGTGCAATTTTACAATAAAAAACAACCGTCTCTCTAAATTATTTGTCCGTCCTTGTATATTGCAATATGCCTCTAGCTATAGGTATGCAATGCACTATAGTAGGGGGCAGAGATGGGGATTGCTTTGTTCTCCGTTTTTTAACATTCAAAAATGTTACATTAAAAAGATGTAGACTTTATTGTTCTTCATATATCGCAAAATTGTATTTTCTAAAAGTTTACTTTAATCACAATTAGTCAAAAACATGAACCAAAAATATTTTCTAATCGTGCTGGATAATATCTTTAAGTGAAATGAAAGCAAACTTATCGAACATGCAACTTTCATACGAGATTAAAATTTTTAGATTTAAAAACACCTTGAATGTGTAAATCGGAGTAGCAAACGTGCTTATCCCTAGACTATGGGTGTAGATAGTTAAAAGAATACCGGGTTACGATCTTTAAAGTATATTAGCAGAACGTGAGGTTCGCATCGTGACTTTTTTCATAACTTCTCAGGTAACTCTGGTACATTATCCATACTCTCTACTAACTCTGGTACATTATCCATATTCTCTACTAACTCTGGTACATTATCCATATTCTCTACTAACTCTGGTACATTATCCATATTATCAACTAACTCAGGTACATTATCCATATTCTCTTCTAACTCTGGTACATTTTCCATATTCTCTACTAACTCTGGTACATTATCCATATTCTCTAGTAACTCTGATACATTATCCTTATTCTCTACTAACTCTGGTACATTATCCCAAGGAACATGCATATGCAACATCAATAACTGAGTTCACAAAGAAAGTGTACGGCAATTTCTGGAAGGAGTTTATACAAAATTGGTGCTACTCAAAGCAAATTTTGTTTACATTTCTCCCAAAACTACAGTACACTCATTTGTTAATGTAAACAAAGTTTGTTGGAAAAATAGGCGCCCTCCAAATATGTATGGGCTGACTTTGAAGTGTTGACAGGCCTTTGTTTTGGTTTTGTTGTGACACCACATGTTTAACTCTTTTTTCAACAATTAACTTCAAAATTTTAACATAGCATATTTTTTCAAAAAAAATAATGTCCCATGTTTTCTGGAAGCCTCTGTTCCCCAAACATTCAAACAGGATCCAACTAGAGAATGTCTGCTTGGATTTAAATTAAGTGCAATCATAATTTTAACCCCATTGCCCTTTTTTTTCAACACAAAACAGACATCTTTGTATCTAATTTAACCAATAGGCATTGTCTTCAAGGCTTGCACAATACATGTTTGAATTTAAAGGGACTGTACGTAACTTCAAGTTTGAATTTAAAGGGACTGTACGTAACTTCAAGTTTGAATTTAAAGGGACTGTACGTAACTTCAAGTTTGAATTTAAAGGGACTGTACGCAACTTCAAGTTTGAATTTAAAGGGACTGTTCGTAAATTCAAGTTTGAATTTAAAGGGACTGTACGAAACTTCAAGTTTGAATTTAAAGGGAATGTACGTATCTTCAAGTTTGAATTTAAAGGGACTGTACGTAACTTCAAGTTTGAGTTTAAAGGGAATGTACGCAACTTCAAGTTTGGATTTAAAGGGACTGTACATAACTTCAAGTTTGAATTTAAAGGGACTGTACGTAACTTCAAGTCACTTTCCATTCATAGAGTGTCATGTCCGATTCGTAATGGTGCCCTTTAAACATGTTTTATTTAAGGAACAATAAGGAAAATTTTGTCATTTATAAAATTTATAAAGAAACCAAAATTGAATAAACAAATTTTGCAAAAAAGAAATGTATCTCATTAACCCAGGATTAGACAAAGATTGCACAGTATGAATTCACTTATAATTACTTAGAGTGAAGCCCCCTTTAGACGTAAATATTTTAATGATTGAAGTAATCATGTAGAAAACACCAAGAGTTTGTTCTTCGCTTTTTCAAGAATTTATTTTTGATTGATTCCGATAATTCGTTATGATCACAAACCACAAAAACCACATAGTATGTTCCTTTAATGTCTGGGAATGTGCAAATTTTACAGTAATTACGTATTAACTTATTTGTTCGACTTAATTACAATATGATTACAACTGCCGATTTTCTTTAAAGATTATATTTTATATTTGTCTTGATAGAAGTATCATTCAATCTATAAATATACCTATGAACTATAGGCTGTGTAAACGCCCCGAAGTATCTTATTTGAATGAAAATTGATTAAAAACTTTTTCTTGAAAAAAACTGTAGACGTTGTTTAAAGTGCCCCTCTGTTAATAGAATGGAATATCCGGTAAAATATCATTGTATTTTTAGCAAAGCAATTGATAATTTTAAATAAAGATTAAGTTTTGAACGGTACCGTTGTTGATCCGGACATGCCATGCCCTATATACTTGAAATTATGTCTACTGTAAATTGTCCCTTTAACATTCATATTAGTTCAAGAATTTATTTTAATTTCAACACATTTAGTGACATTTTATAGTTCTTCACAAATGCCATTTTGTATTCTAAATTTTCATCAGAATCGGAATTATTCTGAAAATTCTGTCAAGAACCAGTTAAAAAAAAGATTGAAAATATCAAATACAAATTCCAACTATGTTCAGCTCTTTTCAAGGGATTATTAACCTTTTTCATTAATTTCATTTCAAGGGATTATTAACCTTTTTCATTAATTTCATTTCAAGGGATTATCAATCTTTTTCATTAATTTCATTTCCAGGGATTATCAACCTTTTTCATTAATTTCATTTCAAGGGATTATCAACCTTTTTCATTAATTTCATTTCAAGGGATTATCAATCTTTTTCATTTATTTCATTTCAAGGGATTATCAATCTTTTTCATTAATTTCTTTTCCAGGGATTATCAACCTTTTTCATTAATTTCATTTCAAGGGATTATCAACCTTTTTCATTAATTTCATTTCCAGGGATTGTCAATCTTTTTCATTAATTTCATTTCCAGGGATTATCAATCTTTTTCATTAATTTCATTTCAAGGGATTATCAATCTTTTTCATTAATTTCATTTCCAGGGATTATCAATCTTTTTCATTAATTTCATTTCCAGGGATTATCAACCTTTTTCATTAATTTTATTTCCAGGGATTATTAACCTTTTTCATTAATTTCATTTCAAGGGATTATTAACCTTTTTATTAATTTCATTTCAAGGGATTATTAACCTTTTTTCATTGATTTCATTTCAAAGGATTATTAGCCTTTTGCATCAATTTCATTTCAAGGGATTTAAAAAGCTTATCACTTAGTTTAAACAAGTTTTGTCGGGCTAAAACACCTTGTGTAATAACTTTTCTTAACTACTTTAAACTTGTAATTCAAAACATTTAAAAATTCACGGAATTGAGGCACATTTTAAAAGGAAGAGTCGATAATTTTGATCCCATGACAAGTTTACTGAAAATGTGGCAAACATTTAACTTTCTCTTGCTGTTTAGTTGAATGTTTCTCAAACAAAAAAATAGAAAAAAAAATAGATAAGAAAGGTTAAAGATCCGAATTAATAGAATTCTAATTTAAGACACCCCAAATATATACAAGAGAAGAACTGAAAGGAAACATGGATAAGGTAAAGAGGAAACAGAAATACTGAAAACTAGAAAACATGTAGAAAAGTGCGATACAAAATATAAAATAATAACAAATATAAATGAGAAAATGGAAAATTGAAATATTGTCTACAGATTATTTACGTACGTAGTATTCATCATTTATATTATTATATAGCAATATCGATTATTATTAATCTGAGGAGCATTATCTATTATTATTACCCTAAGGAGCATTATCGATTATTAATATCCGAGGAACATTATCGATTATTATAATTACCCTAAGGTGCATTATCTAATATTATTACCCTGATGAGCATCATGAAAGTTAACTCTAAGGCTGCCAGTCTGCGACTGACAATCTTAATTCACTCCCGTTTCCATCAAATACTTACACCTCACTTTGGTCGGTTTAGCTCTCCATGCTAAACCATTCTAAACTATTCTAAACTATTCTCAACTATTCTCAACTATTCTAAACTATTCTGAACTATGCTAAACTATTCTAAACTATTCTAAACTATTCTAAACTATTAACTTTTCTGAAATATTATAAACTATTCTAAGCTATACTAAACTATTCTAAATTATTCTAAGCTATACTAAACTATTAGAAACCATTCTAAACTATTCTATTATTCTACACTTTTCTAGACTATTCTACACTTTTCTAGACTATTCTAAACTATTGTAAGCTATACTAAACTATTCTAAAATATTCTAAGCTATACTAAACTATTATTAACCATTCTGAACTATTCTAAATTATTCTAAGCTATACTAAACCATTCTAAACTATACTAAGCTATTCTAAACTGTTCTAAACTATTCTAAACTATTCTAACCCATTCTGAACAATTCTAAACTATTATAAACTATGCTTAACTATTCTAAACTATTCTAAACTATACTAATTTATTCGAAACTGTTCTAAACTATTCTAAACTATTCTAAACTATTCTAAACTATTCTAAACTATTCTAAACTATTCTAAACTATTCTAAACTATACTAAACTATTCTAAACAATTCTAAACTATTTCAAATTTGTCCATTTTAATATAAAACTGCAATAAATCCTCAAAAGTTTAGGAGTTTATAAAATAGACTTTTTAATATTAATTATTTACTACAGTGAAACCCTTAATAACGAATACATCGGAAGAATTTATCAAATGGTGTCTTGACAATTTTTCAATCAGTTTTATACTATATTACGTAAATATCAGTATTTGCATAAATAAATAAATAGCCATGTATATGCGGGAACAGTTTTAAAGAGTTCCATATAATCATTTAATTAAAATGCTAAATATCTGCAACATTCCATTATCAGAAAGTGAAGAATACGACATTTGATGAATTCTTTCGATGTATTCGTTATTAAGGGTTTCACTGTATGTATTTCTAAAAGGTTTTATCATGCTGAGAAATTGCAAAAAAAGGTTTTTGGTCAAGTTATAAAAGCAAAATGTTTGTTATTGTTGCAGGACATAGAGACTCGGAGACTTAGCGAAAGGCAGAGAGAAGGTTTTTCTCAAGGATGTAATGCAAGGAAAGTAATTTCAGAGGTGTACGCATCTTTTGTACTGCAGTGTACTGTCACTGGGCGGCAATTTAAACACAATATGGATGTCGAAGCCTGACATGGGATCCATCTTTCACATAAAAAATCAATGAAATATTCTGGTCATAGGAAACTATTATGTGAAATATCAAAATTATTAAAATTAAATGTTTTAACCTCCTCAAATACTAAACAAACACGGATGCATTTATTCTTGTTTATAAATTCCGCCCTGAGAGAACTGTTTTCAATGTGCGCAGAGTATACGCGACAGCAATTAACTTTCCTTGCATTATAACCTTGGCTTTTCTCATGCCTTATTTCTTTTTCTTTTAACCTTAAGAAATAAATATATAGAGATGAAAATTCGATGATTAAAAGATAAAAAGTGTAATGAAAAGGTTTCTGGTATCAATGTATATATAGGCATCAATAACCAGTAACCAATCTGAGTAGAGAACCTCTATTAGTAATTTGGTTTATTATCATAATATCAACAAAAAGGTTAATATAGCTTGGTCCTTAGAAAACTATTGTAATAAAATGCCAAGTAAACTTAGCTAGCGTAATTTAGTGTGAATTTATAATTTATTATAAAATAACTAAACTAAACCATTCTAAACTATTCTAAACTATTCTAAACTATTCT